TAACTCTCTACTTTAGAAGCGATAAGTACTTAACTAAGTAAATCTACTAATTTACTAAAGCCTTCCTATTTCACGCGACTATTAGAAAACTCCTAGACTATCTTATTAGATATATAAATCTTAGTAGCTATTTTAACTAAGTTATTAAACTTGATTATACCTAGCTTATTAATATTAACCTTATTCTTACGTATTACCTTCTCACGAATATCCCTTAGTAGCCTATTTAAAAACTATACTCCTTAAGTGTAATTTTCTAACTAGCCCCTTTTTACTAAGGTAGCTAATATTACAGTGAATTATTAAATAAACTACTTTATATTACTTTTTATAGTTTATAGTTTTAACTTTAAAGCCCTAAGGAACGATCGGGAGTTTATTTATTAAAAAGTATCCTAATCTTTATACTCTTTTAAAAGAGAGACTACTAGCTCTTCTTAATTCTTACTCGTCCACTCTAGTAACGTCTTAATATACTAACTAATAGTAAGATTATAATATCAGGGAAGCCTTTTAATTTAGTCTATATCCTTTAATTAGGCGTTATTACACTAATTAGTGTACTATTCTAAGAACTCTATAATATTAACTCCCTTAAAGTATAGCGCGCTTAGTATACTTAAAGCTAGTATAACTAAAATATACCTGACTTTCGCTATCCTAAAATTTATAGTCTTCGATTCTTAATAGCTTTCCTCCTAGACTTAAATGTATTTTACTATGTTGCTTTCCTTTGTGCTTAGCGTTCTTTAGTTCTCGGGATCTCTTAGAAATACAGTTATATCAGGGAATTTAGTAAACGATTTAAATCTTTAATACCTACTTATAAGGTATAGTATACCTAACGTTACTAAAGTTAAAAATGCTAAAGTTACTAGTAAAAGCGTAACGATTATACTCTTTATAACCTTTAGACTTAGCTCCCTTAACTACTTTAACCTCCTTAACCTTTTTTCCTTATATCCCTTTTTTACCCTACTTTAAGCCCCTTTTTTATATTAGACCTACTTTTTTTTTATATTTATCTGTTCTTTACTTGTTTTCTTTGTATAAACTTTCTCTGTTATTATAATAACCTTGTCTTCTAAGCTCTATATAATAACTTTCCCTTTTATACTTCCTTAGCTCTCTCTACTTGTATTCTACTGTTTCCTAATATCCTACCTACTAAATAAGGGTTCTTAAAGCCTCTTTTTTTTAGCTGCTTCTTACGCGTCTATCTATCTCTATAATAGAGATACTAAGTAATGAAATTCTAACTCTTACTTTTACTACTAGCTTAGCTATATCTTAACTACTCTTTTACCTTGCTTTTAGTTCCTTACGTAGGTTACTAATATAAAAAAGTAGGGTAATACTATTAAAGTGTATAGTAAGTAGGGACGTAGAGGACTACTAACTAAACAGGTAATAAGAGTAGGAGAGAAAAGATAATATATTTGTTACGTGCTATCGCGTCTATCTATATAACCTTACAGAACAGGCTAACTATCTTCTGACTTAGAACCACACTACCTTACTATACTAGTTTTAGGCGCTGTTATCTAGTGTGTACGTATTAATAATAACTTAAGGTTATATTAGATATAAAACTATACACTAATGCCGAGATGCTAATTATAGCGATTATACGTCTTCTTTATATACTATTATTTGTCCTTGACCGAGCGAATATAATATATAGTAAGCTAATCTCTATAGAGTAGCTATAGCTGAGACTTAAAATCCTTATTTAGATCTAAGTGTAACTATTACTAGAAGATATTATTATAGACCCTTATAGTACTAGTAAGAGTCCCCTTATTTTCGAATATAGCTCTAAACTAGTAGTATTCCGTCTTATAGACTAAAAGGAGATCGAGCTTTAGTATAAAAAGAAATAAGCTTATCTTATCTTAGAATATTATTTATACTACAGTAAGATAGAGATCTCGGATAACATCTACGATTAAGAACCGGGTAATACGCTCCTTAATAGACTGTAATAGAGATTAATAATATACCGAGTTAGGCGGTAAAGGTAAGACTATATTAAGGGGTAAAGGATAATTAAGACTACTAATCTTAAAGGAAAATATAATATCTTTCTAAGTAAGAGGAACTATAGGGTTATATATTAATTATATCAGACCTGTAATTAGTATCTCTAGGTAAATAATAATTATAGCTATAGTTATAGCCTTTTAAGTCTTAACGTAACTAAGGACCTTATCCCGCTTATTATCTTAAAAGTTGATATTATTATAAATAATAATACTTTAAGGGTTACGACTAAGCAGAGGGAGACGAGTCTGTAGTATATATTAGTCTTATAGTCTAAGTAGAGAGAATTAATAAACGAAAAGTAAGTTAAAGTAAATAAAAGTAAGTAAGCTAGTAAGAAAGTAAGATGTAATAGCTAATTGATTAGCTAAATAGTAGAAGTATATCTGTACCTTTACTTAAGAAGTAGATTAAAGTAAATAAGCTAATAGAAGGATAAGATATAGTAAGAACCGAGAACTAGGTAACTAAGAATAAGGATAGCGAGCTTATACTCTTACTTAAAAAGTAAATTAAAGTAAGTAGGTTAATAAGAGGATAGGATATAGCAGGACGCGAGAACTAGATAACTAAGAATAAAGAGCGTAGTAAGCTTATACTATCGCCTAGAAAGTAAATTGAAGTAAATAGGCTAATAGTAGATAGGTGCTTATAATTATAAGAGAATACAAAAGTTAAGAGAGTTTAATTATATACTTTAGTAAGGGCTGTAAGTTCTTTTATTGTAGTATTTCCAGTCTAGTACAAATAGTATATACCTAGACTTAATAAGACTTCGACTACTTGACGTTTTATACTAGATCTAAGAAGGTATAAGTCTAAGTAAGACTATATATAGTTAGACTACTTCTTAGACTATATAAAGGAGAGTATACTAGTTATTATAATAGTAGTGCTTTAAAAAGACCTTAATAAAGCGGTTTAACCTTAATTATACGCGTTCTATAAAGCACACTTGTTTTAAAGTAACAACTGAAGTAAAGTAGACTAGATAAGCGCTACTTTGTTTATACTTAAGAAACCCTGCTTTATATCTATCCCTTTATCTGTCCCTTAGATATTAAAAGGCCTAAAGTACTGAATCTGATATAAGGCCTTAAATTCCGAGCGTAGTAAATTAAGAGGAACAGAACTAAACACCGGCCTGATATTATCTAAGGTATATTAAAGTATCTTCCGACGCTATTTAGCTATACGGATATATCGCAAGTATATCTTATAAGTATAATCGTCTTCTGTAATAAAAGCGGTAAGGAACTTCCTAAGAGACCATTTGTAGTGCCCGAGAACCTTAAAAACCTACTTTACTACAGATCCTTTTAAGAGCTTTATTCTGCCTAGAGCTTGTTAATATTATATATTCTCTAATCCTCTTTATATAATATTAGTAGAATCAGAGTTACTATTAGAGTCTCCCTAAGAGTTGCTATTAGATTCGCTACTAGAACCTTTATTAAAGCTATTAGTAGAGTCTTTATTAGAGCTATTATTAGAATTGTAGTAAAATAAGTAAGGTAAGGTTAATAGTAAGAAAGAAAGCTTACTAGAGATATTAAATAGACTTAATAAGAGGTTTAAAAGCTCGCTAGAGATATAAGGTAGAGGAATTAATAAAAGGTTTGAAAGCTCGCTAAAGATATTAAATAGACTTAATAAGAGGTTCAAAAGCTTGCTGGAGATATAAAGCTTTATAAGTGGCGGTTATCTTTCATGTAATAAGGGTAAAGATAGTAGTAAGGAGGGGCTACTTATATTAGAAGCGCTATAAGTGGGTATCGTGTTTAAGTTAAAATATTACGCGATTTAAGCTAAATATAATAAATAAAGCCTAGTATAATTAATAGAGGTTAAAAAGAGCTTTTAAATGTACTTTTAATAATTGCAATTAGTTGTAGTTAAGAGGTAGAAGTACTATGTTGTAGTAAGTAGTTCGATATTAGCTATTCCTTACTAAAAGTATAGTGTAAACCACTAAAATACTATTATTTTCCCTTAGACCCTCTAGTGAGAATTCGTAGGCTCGCCTTATCCCTAGTATCTGATTGGCCTATTTACTTTAATTTACTCTAATTTACACTAACTTGCTTACCGAGACACTAAAGGCTAGATATGTAAGGCGTAGCACGAATTACTACTAAAGGAGGGTCTAATTTATGAGATAAGCCGAACATCCATATTTTTCTCACTTCTTCTCAGCACCATTTTACTCGTGAATCTGAGCATTGAAGCTTGTGATAGTCGTCTTGGCTAGAGAGGATGTTGGCCTGGTAGAAAGTCAAGAAGGGCGGATTGGCACGGTCCGCTGTCTAGATGCAAGCCAAAAACTTCTCGAACAAAGTTCTTACTTGTGTCTCTCGAGCCAGTAACAGGAGTTCATGATATCCTTCTCTGTGGGGTTGATCGCAAGCGCTGCAGCCGAACTACTCAGCAGTCAGCACATCTACCTAGGTCACTGGTTCTTAGAGAATAACCTAATGTATTTACCTCCCATGGTATCTCTCCACGTCATCATCAGCTGAGGAGAAGAGACTCCTCTGCATTCTCACCGAGCATGAGCTGGGGATCCCGCATTTTCGTGTTCGCTTTCGATTACAGTTTCGCAGGAAGGAATAATCCACGGGATGTACATGTTCTCTGTGGGGGCACACAGTAAGGTAGGTCGGGTAGGTAGAGTACCTTGGCCATGTTGTTATTGGCTTGAGGCTATGAGGAGCTTCGCCTGGCATGCTGCAGCTCTAGGTGGTGGGTGGGTGGCTTCATGTAGGTAGGTAGGGAAAGGCAACAAGAGGCGAGCTGTATGTACAGTGTACAGTAGGTATAAGTAAGCTGCGACAGCGGCGCGATAGTGTTTTCGTTCACATCACATCCCACACCACACTCAGCCGGTCAGTCAATCGGTCAGTCATCAATCGATTCGAGTTGCTACTCGTTGTGCAGCACTGTTGGGTATGGTGGTACTACCTACCTACCTACCTACCTACCTACCTTCGTATGTTATGCAATAAATGCTCTTGCTCGTCAGCTGCTGTCTTGTCTTTCCCCTTGACTCAAGATGGCATATCCCCGGCCTTTCATTCGATGACGCCTGCCCCTGTTCCAGCCCAAATTCAGCTCGTGACACAACCCCGGACCAATTTCCGCGCTGCGCTGCACCACACCACTGCCGGAGGTACGAGTGCATCACATCCCCCATCACCGCTATTTCGGTACTATTTCTTTGGTGTATTTTGATGGCGTGGCTGCTGCTGAACAACCATAATAACGTACACTACACTACATTACACTACAACCCCCGACGCTCATTTAAACAGTGCCGACCGTCCCGAATTGTCTTCTCTCGTGTCGCAAACAGACTTCCTTCAGTTCCTTGGACCGATCATCCCCAGGACGAGCACGCTTCATGGCGCGCCAGACAGACGAGAGATGGTGTTGCTAGAATACCTTCAGAAGACCACTCCGCTCTGCTACAATAATGCACCTCCTCAGAAACAACTTCCGACCTCTGTTCCCGTGAGGGGATATCTATGCAATGAAGATTCCGGACTTCCGAGACGCAGGAGTCTCTCCGGCGCCAGGTGGGGGATCCTGGGTCCTGCGGCGAGAGTATTGAAGGGTGGTGTGGATCTGGTCAACAATACGGTTCTGGGACTTCGAGACGGCTTGACGGAAGAGCAGAGACTGGCCAAGGCGAAGAAGGACGAGAGAAGGCAGATTCTGGCTCTGCGGATGAAGAATGCGGAAACTATGGATCAGTGGCAGGCGGCCGCCAAGGAGTTAGATATCCTCGACGACAATGAAGCCTGGAAGGCAGATGCTGCGTCACCCGAATTCGACGCAGAATTAATTGAGACTCGATTGAAGGAGTTGGACGAGGCAAGGATTAGTTGCGACGTAAAGGTCATGCTTCATCTGGTGCGAACGGCGCTGGCGAGAGATTTGGGTGGCATGGGGAATATCAGACTCTACAAGCATTCGCATATTGGCACGAAGGATCTCATCGAACGGTATATCGATTCCACGCTTGACACAATTCGCTCTCTGGTGGATAAGAGCAAGATCAGTCTACCCGATGGCCTGGAGACGAAGGACATTCTTGAACAGGTGGTTTATGCTAGGCAGGCGTTTGGAAGAAGTGCTCTGCTACTAAGTGGCGGCGCCACATTTGGTATGAACCATGTAGGGGTTCTGAAAGCACTGTTTGAAGCCAAGCTCTTGCCACGGATCATTTCTGGGGCTTCTGCAGGCAGTATTGTGTGTGCCGTCCTCTGTACTCGAATCGACGAGGAGATTCCGGACGTACTAAAGGCCTTCCCTCATGGAGATCTGGCAGTGTTCGAGGAGAACGGAAACGAAGATGGGATATTGGAGCGAGTGAGAAGGCTGCTGACGCAAGGGGCTTGGATTGATATCAAACACTTGACAAGAGTGATGCAGGAATTGCTGGGCGACATGACTTTCCAGGAAGCATACAACCGCACCCGGAGGATTCTCAATATCTGTGTTTCGTCAGCTTCTGTCTACGAACTCCCACGGCTTCTCAACTATATCACCTCCCCCAACGTCATGATCTGGTCGGCTGTTGCAGCGTCTTGCTCTGTACCTGTGCTTTTCTCGGCAGCTCAGCTACTGGTCAAGAATCCTATTACAGGCGAGAATAGTCCTTGGAACCCTACACCACAGAAATGGATCGATGGGAGTGTTGATAACGACCTCCCTATGACACGTCTGGCCGAGATGTTCAATGTCAATCATTTCATTGTATCTCAGGTCAACCCTCACGTGGTGCCATTCCTTGTCAAGGACGAAATCTCAATTACCAAGAACGCCAATTCCGAGGGTAGTTCCGGACCTGGCTTGGTTTACACATTGACAAACTTGGCAAAGGATGAAGCTCTGCATCGAATGCAGGTCCTTGCCGAGCTGGGCATATTCCCCAACTTGGTCACCAAGGCCCGATCTGTGTTAAGCCAGAAGTATTCTGGAGATATCACGATCCTGCCAGAAATTGAGTACAAGGACTTTCCCAGGATGCTGAAGAACCCGACGGCAGATTTCATGGTCCAGGCTTGTCTGTGTGGTGAAAGGGCGACCTGGCCAAAGCTCAGCAGAATACGAAACCATTGTGCCGTTGAATTGGAACTCGATGCTGCAGTACAGAGGCTCAGAGCAAGGGTCGTATTCAGTCCCAGTCAGGTCGACTTGAGAAGAATGACAACTGGAAGTTTCAGCAGCCCGGTGAAAAGGTTCGGCCGAAAGAGACGAGATAGTGGCGGCAGTGTCCAGGCTTTGGTACCAGCAAATGACGACCCGGAAGATGAGATAAACAGGAACAAGAAGGGCATGTCAAGACCTCCATTACGGACGTCAAGCACCCACTGGAATGTCACGAGACGGTACCTGCCGCCTCTCGCAACTGCTACTCCTCGCACAGCTCATGGATCGCCGATACCCACGCCTGGTCTATCACAACCTGTAAACAAGAAATTAGAGCTCAGCATTCCTTTCCCGGATATCTCCTCGGCGGGAGAGACTTCCCATTCTCCGCCATCTTCAGATGCGGACATTGACTCGCACACAGATGATAGCAGTCCAGAGCCAGATATCACAGACGAGGCCACGCCAAGTCTAGGTCTCTACTTTGCTACACAAAATCGCAGCGCCTCTGACGCTCTAGATTTCTTCTCGTCCAGTCAACCTATCACTGCTAAGACGGACCACGTACTCGCAACATCGCCACTATCATCCCGAGCGAATCTTGCAATCTCTCCCTTGGCTATGACGAAGAAGGCCCCTGAGACTAAGACTATAGGTCAGCCGAGCAGCCCGGAACTGAGATACAAGAGGCTTTTCCACCCAGCACAAAAACAAGACCAGCCGAATGTCCCGCAGTAGAATCGGCATTCAACCACACGGTGCACAATATAACGTACATGCACACGCTCACATCATGTTTTCCTTTGTCAGATACAATCGTTGTAATTTATCGAATAGCTGCATAGGGAGGGTGAGGGATATGGATTGGGAGCAAGCGGGAGTTTATTTATGTTTTTCTGTTGCCGAGAATTATATAGACACGAGAAGAGATAGTGATTTTGGCATCCTGTATTGGCGTTAGGCATGGCATGGGATGAAGCATGAGACACGGTTCGGTTCCGGAATTCGCGGATATGCTTTTTGTACCCATTGTAGAAAAGACAGACAATGAAGTTCTATTGCTCAGGCTACCTCGCTCTCGAGATTATGTTTTCCTTACCTATTCCCGTCTTACAATCGCTCACTCAGTAGTTCTGAGATATCTACTTCTTTCCGCCCTCATTTTGTTGTATTATTTTGTGTCGCCACTGCTATTCAGGAACCGTATACCAAGAGCCCCATGCTTGCTCGGCGGGCTTAGGATGGTAGCCCACTTCTGGTAGCTAGTACTGCAATTCAAGCACGAGGACCGCAGTACACAGTGCTGAATGTACAACCTCAATGCCCAGGACTTCCGTCCACTAAGATTTATGACCTAGCCAATCAAGTGATGTCCAGCTCTACTACACAAGCTCTCGCTACCTAGGTAGTGATATTTGCAGTAACCCCTTGTTCTTAGCGAGTGCGGGGGAGTGGAAGCCCCGCGGCACCGGCACGGTTGTTGCAGTGAAGGGGTGGCTATCGGATACTTGGACTCCTCTGGTCGAGGAGGTGTTGCGTCATGGGTATGGCTAGTATGATTGGTTTATGAATCTCTGGTGATGGTGTGAAAGACGAAGCATCATAGGCTAGATCATCTGGTCTCCCAACTATGACTCTGCTGTGTTACTCTACACACACACCAAATGTTCTGGTCGTGTGATTCCGGACCCAGCTCCGCCAGCGATATTCCGGTATGCAAGTCGTCTTAGTTCTCTGATTCGATCTAGTGTTGTATTGCCATGCAATGGCAATATGAAGATCATGATAGGCAAGTCTAGTCTGTTGGTCTGAGATAGCTACCAGGCGGCGTAGGATAATGAAAATCCCACTGGATCTTTGGAGAGTACCATACCTACCCCGCAGTTAAGTCATGGAATTAGTATTGGAGGCCATCTTGTTTCTTCAATATCAATCAAGCACTACCCGTAACACTTTTCAGTTCTTTCGACTCTCCTACTCTACGAACTTTCATACTGGAATTAGAACATGGCAGCGACAAGCGGAGTGAACGGCCACGGACGCGTTGATATCGAGACTGACGTTTTGATAGTCGGTGGTGGATTTGGTGGTGTCTACTCGATTTATAGGTTTCGTCAATTGGGATTGAGTGTCAAGCTTATTGAAGCTGGATCAGACTTTGGAGGAGGTGTGTACATGTCTTGACTCCCCTCCAGTATTTTTCAAGTATAAGGAAGGTTGTACATGAGAAAATGGTGCTGATGTCTTTGTAGTGTGGCATTGGAACAGATACTTCGGGGCCCGCGTCGATTCGGAAGCACCATTCTACCAACTATCCATTCCCGCAATATGAAAGACGTGGAATTGGAGCGAGCGTTTCCCTGGACACGAAGAACTGCGCAGATATTTCGCGCACTGCGATAGAGTGCTTGGTCTCAAGAAAGATGCGATTTTTAACACCATTGTCGAGGGCATTACATACGAAGATGGACATTGGATATCTCGCACACGAGATGGGCGAGTAGCCAAGTCGAAGTACCTCGTCCTAGCCACGGGTAGCAGTTATAAGAAACACTACCCTGATTTCAAGGACATGGAGACGTACAAGGGAACGCTTGTCCATTCTGCCGTCTTCCCTGGCTCGGGGCTCGCTACGAAGGGGAAAAGGGTTGCAGTCATAGGCAATGGAGCTACCGGCGTTCAGATCGTCCAAGAGCTCGCCAAGACAGATTGCGATCTCAGCGTGTACGTACGCACGCCCAATATCGCATTGCCCATGCATCAACGACCCCTATCAGCTCAAGAGCAAGAGAACACGAAGCAATTCTATGAATCGCTCTTCAACGTCGCAAAACAGCACCGGTCTGGTTTCCCTTACAACTCACCTGCGACTTCTTTCTGGGACGCAAGTCAAGAGCAGCGAGAGGCTTACTGGGAGGAGCTCTGGGGACGAGGGGGTTTCTCCTTCCTCATTAGCAATTATCGCGAGTTCTTGATGGACAAAGAAGCAAATATGCTGATGTATGCATTCTGGGTTCGTAAAACGAGGGAGAGGATCTCGGACAAGAAGAAAGCGGATATCCTTGCTCCCGTGCAGCAGAAGCAGTGGATCGGGACGAAACGGCCGAGTCTGGAGCAGGATTACTACGAAGCAATTGATCGGGAAAATGTCACGCTGCTGGATCTAAATCAGGCTGGTGTGGAGAGGTTCGATGAGAGCGGGATAGTGAAGAATGATGGTGTGAAGAGGGAACACGATATCGTTATCCTGGCGACGGGTTATGATAGCATGACGGGTAGTTTGATGGATCTGAAAATCAGGGATGCGAGGGGTGTGGAGTTGCAGCAGAAGTGGAAGGATGGCGTGTACACGTACCTTGGTCTTATGATCCCGGATATGCCAAATGTTTTTATGGTTTATAGTCCGCAAGCACCGACAGCGTTGTCTAACGGCCCTCCGATCATTGAGATTCAGGTTGACTGGATCGCGGAGGCGATAAGCAAGATGAGAGAGGACGGTGTGGTGGCTGTGACGCCGAGGTGGGAGGCGGCGAAGAAGTGGAGGCAGGATATTCAGAATATGAACGAGAAGACACTATACCCGCTGGCGAATAGTTGGTATATGGGGGCGAACATCCCGGGGAAAGTTAGAGAGCAGCTTGTTTACATTGGGGGTGTGGATTTGTATGAACGGACTGCGAGGGAGGCATTGAGGACGTGGGATGGTTTCGATACACTGAAAGCTCGATAGGGAATGTTGGATATCATTTGGAAGCGTGGACCAATCTGGTCGGGTTTCGACGAGGAGTCAGACGAGGCAATGATTTCGAGGTTCTCATCACTCGTAGAGGAGAATAAGCGAAGCACGCTACAGTACAGCTAACCGAACGCCAAGCTCCCAAACAAATATACGAAACCTTGTTCTACGTGAAATTATGCCCTCTTCTGTGCTCTCAGTACCGCTCGATAGTCCATAACTTTAACTCCGCCTCTTCCATCCCGCTAAACATTCCCAGCTCACTCCGCTTAGAAGCCACATATCGGTCGACGAAATCCTTGCCCAGCAAATCAATCAGTTCCTCATCGCTCTCAAGTGTTCCAAGGGCAGTGGGTAAATCTTTCGGCAAGCTCGTCCTAATACCATGCCCCTCCCTCTCCTCGTCCGTCAGGCTTGCTGGATCCTCTAGGCAGTCACTCAACATTAACTTCTCCCTTCTTTTCACGCCATTTGTGCCAGCTATAATGATAGCCGCCATCGCGAAGTAGATGTTCGCAAGTCCGTCAAGAACTTTGATCTCGAAATGGCTGTCGTCGACTTTACGGAGAGCAGTTTCACGGTTCTGGGTCCCCCACGCTACCCAGGTGCCGCCGGCCCAACACCCGTCAGCCATGCGACTGTAACTGGCGGGGTTGCTATACGTGAATGCTATAATGGCAGGAAGATGCTTCAAGACGCCTGCGTAGAATGGCTCGTAGACTTCCTTTCCATTTCCACCGGCTGAGGAAATCGAGATATGCATGTGCGAGGCGGTGCCGGCCATATGAGGAAATGGCTTCGGGTACAGCGTTGCTCGCAGTCCATGATTTGCCGCGACAGTGCTGATTATCTCCCGAGCGTGGATGAGTGTATCGGCTGCTTCCATTGCCGGCAAAGCGGGAAGGATGAATTCGTACTGGCCGTAGCACGATTCGGGGTGGAATTGCTCAACGAAGATGGCGGATTCTCCGAGACTCTCATAAATTTCCTCCAGAACATCCGCAATTTTTTTGTCGTGCATTGCGCGGCTGGAGCTCCAGGAATGACCCGCGGAGTTGTAGAGGGTCGAGAGTGTACCGTCTCCATGAGATCGCGACATGAACACGACCTCGATCTCGAAACCAATCAGAAATTCGAGATCAAAGGCTTTAGAGGTCTCAAGTGTGCGTCTGAGCAAGGACCGTGGGCACAATGTAACGTGTGATCCGTCCTTCTGGATGAATTCTCCTTGAATCGAGGCATAGCCGACAGAAGGACCGGTCTTGAGCGTGGGCATAATGGCTTGCAATTTGTGTTCACCGGTCGGCATTACTCCTGAGATGAGGGTGTCGTTTTGAAGGAGACCTAGCGCGGCTGTGGTAATACCTATTTGCAGGTGTGTGTTGGACTTGAGCATAGCCAGTGCACGTTTCACAGGTATGACCCTGAGGCGTAGGATAGATGTATAGTCGAGCCATTGTAAGCGAAGAAACTTGATTGACGGATTGACTTCCAGAAACGAGACGAGGGAGTCGAGTTCGGAGCTGGGAGGTTGCAGGGTTCTGACTGGCAGTGTGGTCGTGGATGTGGTGGATATCGAAGTCGGAACTTCGCGGGGTGCGAGTCTGAGTCCTAGGCCGTAGAGGTCGTTTGACGTAGTGAACAGAATATCTTGCACTGCTCTAATAGCTTGAGGAACAGTGAGGACATTATCACGAACATAGTCCGAGAACACCTGAGAACGTCAGTTCTTGTTCCCATATTCAAAACTGAAAACTTACCACTTGCAAGGCTTCCCGAACTTGAATGATTGCAAGTAGGTAAGTCTCGGGAAACCAGTGGCCATCAGTACTCCACATGATCTTCTCGGTCGGACAGAGTTCGAGTATCTCTCGAACAGCATTCTCTTGGCCTTCCTTGCTCAAAAAAGGGAATACTTCACCAATATCGGCGTACACATTATCATACACGCTGGCGAGATACCCAGCTTCTTTCGTCCATGGGTAGCTGGCATGTAGGAGGACAATTGGCACAGTAGGGAACTTTCGGATGAACTCCTGGAGGTGAGACGGAGATGATGTTGTCAGCGTAATGTCGTTGTCGCCGAGTCCGGTATGGAACTGGAATGGCTTCTTGTAGGGGCCAGGAGACTTGGCTATGAGTTGTGCGGTTTTATTGACAAGGCTATGGACAGCATCATAGTCAGTGTCGAAGTATTGAATAAATCTACCATCATCTCTCGTAGCAAAGGTTCACACTTGTGATTGAGAAAAACTTTTGGAGACCACGTACTAGAAATTTAGTGGCAAATTATCGATTCTCGTAAAGTGAGTGGCACCATCTTCTCTCAGCTGAGTGATGTGATCCACGAAAGTATCTTCGATGTCGGCGACAGACATGTGTGCTGGGATAGCAAGTCCAGTTCGATAGCATATCACCGATTTGAACCCAACCACCTCAGAATCGGCAAGAGCATCCTTGATGACCATTTCGAATGCTTCGCGTAAGCCGCCAAATACATCCTCAGGAGCGAGGTCGGGGTTTCTGAACAGTTCATTTATAATTTCTTCCGCAACCTTCTCGATTCTCACAATTTTCTTGCACTCACTACGTGTGAGTTTATCATGCCACGCATAGTCATACACTTCGTCCTTCCCATCTAGTCCGTCGTCGACGAGAATGGTTTCGATTCCAGCTAAGCATCTTTTTTGCCACGCATGATGCGGCTTCGCGTTCTCAATGTCGATGGCCTTTTGCACAGCATCCCATGTTGGTGGGCACCCCAGGACCTCTGAAAGCTGTTTTACAGCTCGAATATGTGACAGCGTCGAAGTTGTTGTCCTCATAGCATCGCCATGGGCTTCTGTGGTGATAGCCAGAAGAGGATATTTGGACAGTGCTGGGGGAATGAGAAGAGGATGGGCGTGATGGTCGATTATAGGGGTTAAATTTATGGCTTTGTTCAGGTCCTCCATTTCGGCAGCTTCGGGTATTGCTTGGGAGAGGGACGAATATGGCTCCAAGTCCCCAGATGATTTGATGGATTCAAGAACGAGGTTTTAGAGGCCGATTTGATTACCTTAGTTGTGTAAACAATTTGAGCCAAGGTTCAGGTTATGTGTTTGAAGTAGCAGAACCCTCAACAGCAGGTGGAGTTTGCATGCAGTTCAACACCTATTTTCTGAAGAAAAAGTCGATTGCGGCTATGCCTGGCTAGCAAATCTCATAATGAGCAGTGTTCCAAGTTTGCTGAGTAAACTTGCTTACAATCATCAGGAGCCAGGAGAGTGAGGAGTTTGGTACTTAGGTAGGCTGTCGTGTGATATTCGGTGAGAGGTTCGACCCTGCAGCAGAGGCAGGTATCTTACCTAAGCACTTATCTCCTTGAAGCAAGTCACGTGGAATTAGTTCCTGGCCAGCCTGAAGCTTCTACTGCCATTCTGTCCTTATCTGTAAACAACAAATGTCGAATATTTCATAAACACTCAAAGTTACTAGCTAGACCAGAAAGTTAAAGTTATAGACCTCGAGGTCATATTTTCTCGTTTGACTTTGGAAAAGTGGAGTACCTACCTAAACGTACCTGGCAATATACCTAAGTATTTATTATCTTGGAAAAGTTGATTTGCTTAAGCAACAAGAGGAATTTATCAGAAGTGACGCTATGAAATCAAAGAATATCAATTCGAAAGATACCATAGTAAATCCAATAAATTAACGCTAATCTCGCCTAGACGAAACCCCACTAGGCTAAAAGCTGTTGCATCGCGTTGAGGCGGTAGCTCTCCCTCCTCTCCATCAACTCTGCATGATTTCCGCTATCAACAATCTGACCACCCTCAACAACGAAGATTACATCCGCTCTCTGTACAGTATGAAGGCGATGCGTGATGGCTAGAACCGTCGTCCCCCGGGCCGCTTCTTCTAGTCCGCGTTGAAGAGCCTCCTCGCTAGCTGCATCCAGAGCGCTAGTGCTCTCGTCAAGGAGAAGCAAACGAGGGCGACGTACAAGAGCGCGTGCGATAGCAAGGCGCTGTCGTTGTCCTCCTGAGAACCGTGACGACGCGGAAGCTCCACATTCAGTATCGTAGCCATCAGGAAGTGCAGCGATCACGTCGTGAATATTGGCAAGGCGGCATGCCTCTTCAATCTCAGCATCAGTAGCTTCATGTCCTGGTGGAGCTCCCAGCGCCACGTTGAAACGGACAGTGCCGTCGAACAGAGCAGGATCCTGGGGGACTATGGCCATGGTTTCACGGAAGGCAAGCGGTAGATGAGAGATATCCCGTCCGTCGATGAAAACCTGACCCTCAGTTGAGGAGTACAGTCTCTGTACGAGATTCATAATCGTCGACTTCCCGGCTCCTGAGGGTCCCACGAGTCCACAAAACTTGTTCGGGGGCAGTGTGAACGTTACGCTGTCCAGGATTGTGACGTCAGGGCGATTTGGGTACGCAAACGAAACGTTCTTGAAAGCAACGCTGGAGCCGCCGCGGGATGGGTTGACTGCGCAATTACTTGTCTTTATATCCGCTTCCAAGTCATCGCTGGTCTTTGCCGGATCATGCGCATCCCCGGTATGGGTACTAGATCCCAAATTGACAACCGTCATGACCCGAGATAATGCAAGTCGTGCGCGAGAGAATTCGGGGGCCAGCGAGAACATGCTGCTCCAAAGTTGCGCGCTTGTCAACATCGCTACTAGGATAATGAGGAAGTCTGTTTGTGTGTACTGTCCTTTCATGATGAGTTGCGAACCCCACCTATTTGCAACAAGGAATCAGTATTTGCCAATCAGTAGATTTTGTCACATCCCGCAGAAAACTGCATACTGCCGAGACAGTAAAGAAGGGAGGGGAACAGGCTTGCCTAGGACGTACCAGTAAGCTAAAGCGTTTACAAAGATGCCCGCCGAGTAGGAAATGGCAAGGAAGACATTGGTCACCACCGAGGCGCGCACCACCTGCTTCTCTGGAGGAAGTAGCAGGCGAATAAATGATTCCATGTATTCTTGTTCCAGAGAGAGTACTGCGACTGTTTTTATCGACTGAATGGCCTCGGTAGCAAGCGATGTTGCTGTGGAAAACGCTTTACGATGGCGCTCTTCGTAGCGGGCAAGCATCCGGAGTTGCATAAATCCAGCGCCCAAAAGTATCGGGACGGTGGTGAGACATACCAAGGCAATCTTCCACGCAAAGATATGCGATACGACGATGGAGATCAACACATTCATGCAAACGGCAAAGATTGTTCCAAAGGTTGATCCCGAGAATGCACCTACTGCCACGCTGTCTTTTGTGATGACACCAAGCAAGCTAGTTGGGTCTCTGCCATCCGACTGGTGCCAGTTCAGAGTTTGCTCAAGAAGCGACCGAAACGAGAGGACGCGGAGGTTGTAGAGTAGTCTTTCGGCAATGGTACCAAACCCAAACCAGGCGAGGAAGTTCGCGACTAATTCCACACCCGCCAACATGAAGTACAGACCAGCAAACAGACGACCCATGGACCGGATCTTCTCGATGGTGCTCTCACATGGGTTCAGGGCGCGGACTGTGAAGCCGAAGATGACACCAGCACCAGTGAACGTGGCTCCGACGAAAACGGCTGCAACCATTGCGATCGTGAACCATCCAAGCGATGGTCGGATGAGGGAAGCGACGCCTCGCAAGACGGATCTGAAGGGCTTGACGACATCTAGCTCAGAGTCCTTAGCCTCTTCCTTCTGTGTCTTCTGGTCAGCAACGGGAGTCTTCTCATCGGTTTGCTGCTTGCCGGGTCCTTCATCCTGTGTGGTCTCAAGGCTTTGGTCCCCTCGGAGGGTTGACGCATCAATTGAGTCACCCGAGATAGACCCTCCACCAGGCTGGCTGGCAGCTCCTAGAGTTTGCAATTTGGCCATTCGAGCAAATTCACTTTGCTCCTGGGCCATGAGCTCAGCGTACGTTCCCTGCTCAATGACACGGCCAGCCTGCATCACGATGATGTTGTTGGCATTACGAATCGTCGAGAGTCGGTGAGCAATAGAAATAACAGTACGTCGCTCAGCCGCCGCACGCTCTACTGAGATCTGAATCTTTTTTTCGCTGACCGAATCCAGAGAAGCTGTTGCTTCATCGAGCACAAGAATTTCCGGGTCGCGGATCAAGGCTCGAGCAAGTGCGATCCTCTGTCTTTGACCTCCACTCAAGCGCGAACCACTAGGGCCAGCTGATGTGCCATATCCTGACTCCAGGCGCTCGATGAAGGTTGCTGCATCGGCCTGCTCAGCAGCGTGACGAACTAGCTCTGCGATCTCTGCTAGCTCCGGTCCCAGAGACGACATGGCAGAAAACGCGTCCCTGCCTTTACTTTTGTCTACGAGGCTAGCGAGCGTCGGGCTGTTCAGGAATGGCTTGAGATGTTCATGGGCAGGCTTGGACGAGTTGACGAGGCCAAGAGCAATATTCTCCAAGACACTGCGGTCGAGAAGAGACGGTTCTTGCTGGACGAAACTAATGAAGCTTCGGACTGACCGAACGTTGAGATTTCGTAGGTCGTAGCCGTCCATCTCGACGTGCCCTTCGGTCGGATCATGCAGACGAGCCATGAGAGCTGCTATCGTAGACTTCCCACTTCCTGACAATCCCACAATCGCAGTATACGTCCCTGCAGGGAAGTCCAGTTGCACCTGTTGCAAAGCTGGGTGTCCGGCCCGGGAAGGAAATTCGAATGATACATTGCGGAAGGCAATCGACTTAGCAGTGCTTGAAGGGAGAACCAGTCCTTCATTGGAGGTGCCATCGATGGCGGAGGGCGTCGATATATCCTCTTGGAGTCTCTCATATGCGCTGATGGCGGCGCCGAGAAACGGGAGCGTCGGTGCGATTCCTCCCAGCATTACACACGCGTCGACAAGCAAATAAACAATAGAGAATATCTGTCCCACACTTGCACTGCCATCCTGCTTGGCTACCGACTCTGCGATCCGAATGCTTCCCTGCCAAAACGCCAGTGCATTTCCCGAATAGGCGATAAAGTAAAGCAGCCCCGTCTGGAGAGCAGCGATCGATGCTTTGGTGGTTGCAAATTTCTTTGCCTTGGCCATGTGAGATGCGAACTTCGCTTCCAGCCGAGTGGCAGCTCCGAAAGTCTGAACCACAGCAATATGGGACAACGCCTCAGATGCAATGGATGATGCCGCAGAGGTCTCTCTGATCTGGTGTACCACATATTTCCCAAGATATTTGCCGCCCAGAATGCCTGAAACAAGGAAAGCTGGAAGCATGCACACCAAAATGCCAGCGAGACGAGGCTGCTGGGAGAAGGCAATAATGAAAACTGTTACAAAAAAGCTAAGTGTTGTGAGGACATTTCCAACCTTCTCTGACGTCCCTGCCTGGACCGCGGTGATGTCCCCATTCAGTCGACTTGAAACTTGGCCAGCAGCTCCACGCGCGTCAAAGAACGCCGGGGGCTGGCGGAGTAGAGCGGAAACATATCGAGTACGCAATCGTTGCGCCAGGCGTTGGCTGATGATATTCCAACATGTCAAGTGACTGTAGATGAGGACGAGCGAGATGGCACCAATCCAAGCCGTCTGGATCACTTTGTCGTTGATCGTCGACTGATACTGAAACGGGTCGACAGCTGCGGAGCTATCACTGTCAGCAGCACAAGTAGCACTGTTGAAGTTGTCGATGAGCTGGCCAAAGAGAACACCCATCAGAGGAAAGGGAATGCCAGCACCGACCGCGGCAAGAGTGCCACAGATAATGAGTGCAACATCTATCCATGAGGGCTGAGCTGCGAAGAGCAGTTCGAAGTACGCAAAGTATCTCTTGAAAGACTGCAGATTCAATTAATATCAAAACTCATTCGCTCCAACAGTTGTTTCGACTCACTGATAGTCTGCTAGACTTCTTAGGCGAAGCACTGATGCTCTGACTGCTGGACGTTTTCTCAGACATCTGCAACTCTCTGCAGCTGGAAAGCCTTTTGACGATTTCCTCTCTACTCTAGCAGCTATATCACTTACTTTTTGCCTACAACCTCAGGGCGAGAACAGTATAAAGGATCTGGAGGGTTTTGACGGCATGAGTTTTTGGTTTGCAAGCCAGCCATACATTCGCGACAAAAAGAACCAGGGCATGATCGGCGCCCATTTCCCAACCACGATATAGTACATACGGACCGGCTTATCTCAGGATCTGATAAAATCGACCCGCTGTTGCCAAAGCATTCCGAGTGGAGAAGGTGGAGCAGGGGCGGGTCAGTACAGGGAGGAGAGCCAACAGGGAAGAATCTTTCATTATCTAATCAGATTGTCGATCAACATGGCCGAAAGAAAAAGTATAAGATGAGTCTACTGCCAAGTGTCTTGGGATTGACACATCTGCAGCTTCCAAGACGTCCCTCTCCGTAAGTGGCGCCATGCCCGGTGTCGGACAGAAATGACAAGGAAGAATTTTATCTAATCAGATCTAGAGTTTGTTCTGGGAAGACAATTTCCTTGGCTCTCCATTCAAAATACAGTAGCTCTCGAATACCGGAACCGACCTTGGCTTTCTCAGGAGTTAGAAATTGGGCCAAAAGTTTACACTGTCTCATCCCCAAGACTTTGCGATCATCGCCGAGTTTACAAATGCAGTCCAGACGTGTCAATACTCCCCGATGATCTGTCTTCTGCAGTATGGGCAAGCTCCAACTCCCAGCACTGTGAGAGCCGGAGAAAGGAATTGCTCTAGATCGTCCGACTGGCAGCTCAGTCTGCATTGTCCACATGCACGAGTCTCCAGACAGTCCTGCCGAACTCTCCCCGGAGAAGGCTAGTGACGGCACACGGAAGCCATAACGGGAAGGCGTCTCTTGGCCACACTTGGCGAGTGGGATGATGGCAGTGGCCCGTGGGCTAGTATCATTTGACATCGTTTCGCTGTTGGATGGGATAGCGCTTTCGAGGGATGCGCCAGTCAAGCAAATCCAGAGCTGTGCAAGTGGTGACGATAACAGCTTCGTGCGACCAAGAGACTAATTGGTAAAGATCGTCAACAAAAGCAAAGGTGGGAATTCACCGATCAGTACATATCGTTCTATTGGTCAAGGTTGCACTAATCTCTTGTACTTCGAATACCTGAAGCCCGCGCTCTAAAAGATTTCCCACGGGCGAAGGTATCATTTATTGCCAACTACTTTGATCCGCTTTCTTGTTCTAGCCAATCACTCCTAGCTATTCGATACTCCACTTCGCCCTCCTCAATACCAGGCGGCGGAGTCGGGTATACATTATGGAATGTTCGAATATATTTCATCCCACACGAAGCCATTGCTGCCTGCGAACCCTTGTTGATCGCCATCGCGTCGCCCGAAATCTGCTCCACCCCCAAGTCCTGGAATGCATGTCGGAATAACTCGCGCGTTGCCTCCTTCGCAAATCCTCGTCCCCAGAACTTCGGCAAGAGCTTCAGGCCAAAGACGACGTTCTTCGTGTCGACTTGTGGCGGCGAACTCAGGTCTGGTGTCTCGCCAGCTGCCAGTACCCACCAGCCTACAAACTCGCTCCCGTGGTAGCCAGCCCACGTTCCCAGCCCATGAACTGCCAGACCGAGCATACAATTGAGGCCTATCTCGGAATCAGTGGCGCTCAGTGGCTTTCCGTAGCCGATGTACTTCATAACGGCCGGATCGGAGTCCAGCTGAAAGAGGTCGTCCTTGTTTTGTGGTGTGAGAGGAACTAGCTCGAGGCGCTTTGTCCGGAGAGATTGTTGAATCGAAGCAGGGGAGGTTTTGGAAGGCATCTTGAAAGGTATTGCGTATGCTGTAGTGTATGTGGAACAACATAAGTTTCTCATGTCTGGCACTTACCTTGCTCTTTATATAGTCGTCAGTATACTCGCCTATCGGACGAGGGTGGGAGCTTTGCCTTGGAGCAGAAGCTGTCGATCAGTTGGCGGACGTCAGGATCAGTGAATAGCCTCATGTCAAGCAGTCTGGGCGATGGGGGTAGTCAACAGAAGTCGGACACTTGGCTCTGGGACAGAAAGCCAAGGTCCATTTCAAGCCTTGATCTCCGACTGCCTCGCAGCACGAGGCTCGGCAGTTCGGCTCTTGTCATCATCATGCTGGCTTGGATTCGAGGGTCGACACAAGGTTATCATGTCTGCAGAGTGTCGAGGTTTAGCTCTGACTACCACGAGGTGAGGTGCGCTTGCGTAGGGGAATGGACAACCTCCAGGATTGACTGTACATGGGCTCAGAATGCAAGAGGAGTTCAGTCGTTGAATTGCCGCGCCGCGCCAGCATACAACCACAAGAAGATTTCCCAGCTGGTTGCTATGATGAAATTTCTCTTTGTTGATTTCGAGTCAGTGGTTTCTCGCGTAGCAAAAGAAAGTACGAGGAGAAGATTGCACTGCTCATAAGGGCAGTAAAGTTTTCTTCTTCCACGAAGTCTTCTCCGCTGCGGTTCATTTGTCAGGAGTATATCTTCAGCAAGGGCCTCGTCACTCATTGCCAGAAACAAAACAGTACGTCTTGGCGAGCAAGGTCTTGTGGCTGCCGCCAATGCTTGGCGGTCCATTTATTCGTTGACTTGTGCAGTTACGAGCATCCACTATGCTTTTTCCGCAATTGATCCCCACTGGCTAGAGATTACTTTTGGGTTCAGATCTTATCTAATCTTATCACACGGACGGCAAGAACTGCGCTGCTGATCTGGACTTCCTTTTTCTTTACCGCTCCTGCGGCCGCTACCAACAGCCAAGTCTCTTCCTCTCAAATATGGGACCACTAGGTCCATTGCCAGGACGGCCGATGCAGGAGTCTGCATTTGTGCATACATCCGATCAGAAGAGGTTAAGTTCTCCTGTTCTGCTCTTTAAAGTTCAGATTCCATCACCATCTTCCTCCATCATTAACTGATCGCCCAGCCCTTTGGCATATACAATATCCATTGGAAAAGAAATGGCAGTTATGGACAAGCTGCAAGGTCGCCAGACAACTGGTGAAGTCGAGCCAACTTCAGATGTCGCGCACGTCAATGGCGATATTGAAACTTCTCCAGCACCAGAAATTGCTTCCGATGACAAGAAAGCAGGTGCCAATTTTGCCGACTATCAGACCAAAGAAGAACTGCCAACAGAGGATGCCCAACCAGGTGTCCAGAAGATAGAGGCTGTAACGCTCGCTTGGACCAAAAAGTCACTTGCTGGTCTCTTATGCCTGTTAGTACTCCTAAGCCTACTCTCTTGTCATAGACTCAGAGAATATATTGCTAACATGAAGTCTTCTAAGCATTTGGCTCTTGTTCTTGACCAATGGAATGAGGCTGTCGATTCTATACACCTTGGCCCCATATGTCACAAGTGAATTCCAATCTCACTCACTTACCACGACAATTGACATAGTTGCATCTTCGATGTCCGCTGCAACATATATTCCTGTAGCAAAGATGCTCGACGTTTGGGGTCGAGCCGAAGGTTTCCTCGTAATGGTCTTTTGTGCTACACTGGGTCTTATCTTGATGGCCGTGTCACAAAACTTGGCGACGTTTTGTGCTGCGCAGGTACGTTTGACCACAGATTCTGAGCCATGCAAGTTCTACGACTAATTGAATCCTTCTAGCTCTTCTACTCTGTTGGATTTTCTGGCCTCATCTACATCGTTTGTGTTTTGGCAGCAGATGCTACGAACCTCCGAAACAGAGGTCTTGCCTTTGGTAGGGCCCGCTATTTCCGCATTCATGGTCTTCTAGAGACCTGTCTTGTGCACTTCCCACCACGTTCAAGATTTGGCAATGGCTAACTCCTCTGTTACTTTCAAAGCATTCACCAGTTCTCCTTATATGATAACGGCATTTGCAGGCTCCAAAGCTGCTGCGGGCTTTCTGGCGAATGTGAGCTGGCGCTGGGGTTTCGGATGTTTCGCTCTCATTGTACCTGTTGTCACAACTCCGCTTTATCTGGTCCTTAGGCTCAACCTTCGCAAGGCCATGAAGGAAGGCTTGTGGGAGGAGAAGAAGAGTGGTCGCACCGTCTCACAACAAATCAAGTATTTCTTCATAGAATTTGACAGTAAGTGCGGGGAGGTGTAGGGATGTTTCTTCTTCAACATCCCAGAGCTAACACTGTTTTGTAGTTCCCGGAGTTGTTCTACTTGCTGGAGGTGTTGTCGTCTTTTTGCTGCCATTCACGCTTGCCTACTCAGCACCCCAAGGCTGGAAAACCCCCTATATCATCGCCATGGTCATAACAGGTTTTGTCACACTGGTACTCTTCGGCTTCTACCAAGCCTACCTGGCGCCATCACCGTTCATTAATAACAAATTTTTGACGAACAGGACGGTGGTAGCTGCGTGTCTCATTGATCTGACATACCAGATGTCCTATAATTGCTGGGCCACCTACTTCACATCGTTCCTTCAAGTAGTAACAAATGTAGGGCCAGCAGAAGCAGGATATATCGGCAGTACATTCCAAGTCGTCTCGGGAGTCCTGCTTTTCTTCGTCGGCTACCTGATCCGCCGCACTGGTCGCTTCAGGTGGCTCTTCTACTGGGCCGTTCCTCTCTATGTCTTTGCTCTGGGCCTGATGATCCACTTCCGCAGCCCCAATGGCAAAGTCGGCTATTTGATCATGTGTGAGATTTTCATCTCGATGGGAGGAGCAGTCTTTATTCTCTGCATGCAGCTCGCTGTCCTCGCAGCAGTCGACCACCAGCACGTTGCTGCCGCACTAGCAATCCTGTTCGTCTCGGGCGGTTTTGGTGCTGCTATAGGAAGTGCAATCAGCGGAGCAATTTGGACGAACACCTTCGCGGGCGGTCTGGTCAAGTATCTCCCCGAATCGGCCTTACCCGACTTGATGACTATCTATGGCAGCTTGCCCGTCCAGCTCAGCTATCCGGTTGGAAGCGCAGAACGTTTGGGCATTCAAAAGGCATATGGGTATGCACAGACTAGGATGCTGGCTACTGGTACCGGCATCATGAGCTTGTCATTTATTTGGATGTTTTTGATGAAGAATCTCAAGGTTTCGGAGATGTCGCAGACCAAAGGTGTCGTGTTTTGAGCGAGGTTCCATACTCGCTGGAAAGATATATGATGCAATATAGTTGAGAGGTCGACATAGGGGGAGAATAATGGGAGTGGCGGGATGGGGAAGAAGGATAGGACGAAGAAATCGAATGCAATACAGAACGTCGTACAAGCTTCCTACGTGATTCGTGTCTGTGTTACCATCCGAGTGTCTCTTAAAGTTTTGATTCACACTATTCCCATCCAGACTTTGCAGTCAGACTAAATGTCTCCCACCTAACCCCATCTTCGACACTTTTCCAGGCAATGTCTTCAAGTATCGCAACTTTACTCCATCCCCTGATCAGTGAGCGCCAGTAACAGGCCTCTGAAGCTTCAGAGAGCAGTCCTCTGTCTGCTACTAGCTCCCTCTGCCGTTCCGCAATCCCCTCAGCAATAATAGGATGCGCCCTCAACCACATCACTGTCTGCTCTAAGTCTGCCCAGTCCGGGTCAACAAAAACGACGTTGGCTTGCGAAGGCGGGTAAGAATGCGTCCATCTTGGGTTGGGCCCTGCCCCAACTTTCGAGTTGGCGGACGGGGAAAAGGGCAGGGTTGAGGAGAAGAGAGGTCGCATTAGGTGCGTAGTATGCATCAGGTAGCTAGGTGGAGGGGTGATGATGATCGACTTGCAGGCTCTAGGAAAATAGGCGAGTTATTAATTACTCACTTGAAGTGTTCGTAGAAGACTATAAGGCATGTCATGACAAAGAAAGAAGGCGCTCGCAAGGGGAATCAGTGGGCTCTCCTGTTACCTACTGGTGGAAGGGGAGTCGGCCAGAGTAGGTTATGCCCTAAACGCTTGTCAATACGTACACAATCCATCTAAATCAGAGCAGTTTGCAAACCTCCGTATAGACGATATACTTGTATTTGCAGAAGTCCTCAATTTTGATGGAGTTGTTAGCTCCTTTCGAGTTCGACTCCCATTCTAACCCTTCTACATCCGCCCACTCTTTTTCTTTCGTGGCGGCAAGTAAATGCGGTCTCAAGGCCGTATTGCCAATCGAGTTGAACCAAGCAGTACCCCTCCACACAACCTTATCTATCTTCTGCTCCCAGGCCGTTTCCTTCTCAACATTCTCAATTCTGGAAAGGGCTTCGTCCATAGTGCCAATAAAAGGGAGGGGCCAAGACCAAAAACTGAAATGTGGCATAATCCAATAGTTTCCCAGCATTTTTGGATCGCGGGAGAAGGACCAGCTGTTTTGCCGGGGGTTGTCGATGATGGAGTAGGTGAAGATTGTATCAGGCAGAGGCGTTGGAGATGTGGTTATTGCACGATGGATTTGACGTAAGACGGCATCTCGTTCCTGTGGAATTGTTTAGTACTGATATAATGTCTTGTGCGATAGTCTACTTGCGTATAACATCTGTCGAGAGGCTCGACTGTCTGCAGAGATGATATAGAGCTGGCGGGACGCATCAGCCCATGATTAACCTTCCCACTAGGGTGATGCCGAACCTTTCCATCTTTTATTCTCCCTTGGACCAGACCTTGATAGTTCTGTGGCTCCCTCACAAGCTTAAAAGGACCCCGCGCGACGGCATCGTCGATTTCCTTGGTAAGGCCAGGAAACGTAGCTCTGCATTGCGCTTCATTTAACGCACGATTCTCAAATAGTGCCTGCGAAGGATACTTCGCGCCCAACAACGACATAAAGCTTGAGATTCCAAAGGCCGGGTTCAACAGAACTGAAGCATAGTAAAGAACAATCACGGCTGAAACAACCAGTGCTGTTCTGACAGTTTTCTTCCGCGAAAGTATCATACTTCGCAATCCTCAACAACAGGCAGTTCCCGTTGCACGAGGGCGAGCATAATGAATGATTGAAGAGAGAGAAAAGAGGCCGACGAGTGAGTTGATAAGAATGGTAAATTGTGGGAAATTTGTACGGATACTTCGTCACTTCGCGTGGGTGAGCTTGTTTTTGGAGAGCAATTTCACCGGCTAAAATCCCACAAATGGGGGATGCAGCCCACTCAAGATGACACGTCTTGCCTACCTGCACGTTTCTGCGACGTTCTGAGGTAAATGAAGTTCATACTCGCCTGCACCAGGATATTCCGGATACCAATTACCAGATACCTTTAGTGTAGTGAGTTGGCGATTTCCTGGAGAGATCGCTATCGCTCTCCGCTGTCAAGGCCAGAAGCTTGGCCTCGAGGCGTAACAGGGACTTTGCCAAGTACGGCCAAAATTCTTCGAATGACATCCATTGTTCTCCCTTCTTGGGCAGCAGCGAGACCACCAGGCTGGGAGGCAGGTACTACTTACTAATAAGCTCCGGTCTCATAAGTGAAATGTAATTTATTTCCCCTGTAGAAAGAAGGTTGTTTGCTCAGTTCATGCTCCCCCAATGGTCGTCCGAGACTTGATGAAATCATCCACCGGTCTCATCACGCGAACTGCTTCGCCATTCACGCACTCGAAAGTCCCAACAGCTGCTTCTTTGGCTTCCCGTCGTCGACACTGACCAGATTCGATTCGGTGTAGATTACGATATCCTAGACTCTAAACTCTCGATCTCGCCGTCCAATAATTTGTCGGAAGAACCGCTCACATTCTGTGTGGTACTACCATCCAAGGAACGAGTGAATTGGCGTGAATTGGCGAAGTGTAATTACACTCTATATAATGTCTGAGCAAAACAAATCGCAAAAAAAGCATGTCAGCTTCACCACTTTCAAAGCCAAAAAGAAAATATTTCATCGCGGAGCAAGACAAGACTTTTAAATCAGACATAATTGGTATCTGGCCTGTGCATAGCATGCCACATCGGCCCAATAGCATACGAGGCTATGAGCAGAGCAAAACAGCAAGTACGAACTAGGAAAGTCTTAGAGGAAGTCCCTCAAGCGCTTGAGAGGGGTTCTTGACATCATCTCGCCAGCCTGGCTGTTTGGCATTCTCTCACAACGCATACACGTAACCAGGCGCACTCAGAAACCTGGAAACAGTGATTAGTTCATCGCATCATATTCATTACCGCAAAGCTATGCCTTTGACCCCCACCCCAATTCATCAACAGAGCAGAAGTGCCCATGCATTCCAGGTCACCCATCTCTAACCAGCTAATATCAGTCCCCAATCCTGACACCCACAGCCCCAAATGGTATCAACTCTAGCACCAGTGCTCGCTGGATCAATGAAGATCTAGGCATCTCCCTTGAAAATATCCGGCCAGCACTTCTCCTTGGGCCACAGCTTCTGGTCGTGCGTCTCGGCGTGGACTTCGAGTTGCTTGAGGTTGGTATTGACGATTTCCTTGCGGCAGTTGGCACACTATTTTGCACCATGATCAGTCTGCTGCTCTCTCGTACGTCGACTCTCAATCCTTCGTTCACTCCTCACGCCCTGTCTCTACACTCCGAGAGTATGCCCCGGCTTCCGACTTGGAGAGTCCATCTATCTGGATCGGAGGCTGATGAGTGGGGATATCGTTGACCTGAGGGTGATCAAGGCTTCAGGAGGTCTGTCTGGAGGTAGTTACCAGACTTGTTGGCTTGGGAGCCTTGACTGGGAGACCATTTGCCTTGACGGGGGCGCGGGTTCCTGCTGCCTCGGCCTTGCGGTGCTCGCGCTGGATCTGTTTTCATGGAACCCAATCAGCGCCTTTTCTTCTCTGGTACTTTCGCCGTCCACTTCCACTGCACGAGACTCTCTGCCCAGCCTTGTCCTATCTCCAGACAATGGGCTGGTATCACCTCACTCCATGTCACACCAGGGAAACTCACCTTCATCTTCTTGGAAACAGGCATATTTGTGGTTGTCTGGCTGTATTGATGGGTTGAGGTGTGTCTTGCACGCAAGTTCTGCCTTGTTATCTGTTTGGTGGCGGGGGTTCGCAAGGCGAGGAGGTCGGCGCATTGAGAATTTCTCACCAGGTGAGGCAGAGCCAGGGTCCTATTTAAGCTTATCTTAGTGAGGTGATCGGCTAATCTTCGGCCTCCCGGTCCTCATGGGAGGAGGGTCCAACTCAAGTATGCATTCTACCTTAATGATTTGAGGTTAAGGTAGATGAATTTAGACTTCCGGATCATCTTTAATTAGCTTACAAGAGCTCCATGTCGGATAGCGAGTGCTTCTATGGCTGCGTCCAAACTGATGTCTCCGAACAAACCAGATACCAAGACACCGCAGCTGCACTTCTTTGTAGGGGCGATCTTGGACGACACATCTGTTACTAATCTCAATCGCTACAATTATGCCACACTTAGACTATATCTCATGTTAATGTTACACTGCTCTGTCATCATATCGTTCCATTGTCGCAGAAGCTGCCAGCTCATACCTACTCAGTACTCGCTCAGTCTGAGTTTCTTTCCAATCTCCCTCCTTCTCGCGTTGACCGTTGCCCGCTCAGATGGTTTAGTAGAACCATCATCTAAGCCCTCGCCCCGAGCTTTCAAAGCTTGAAGCAACATTCCTGCGTCAAAGAACCCATCTGCAAAAGTCAGTATCACCCGACACCGCCTTCCGGAATAACGAGTGGACTTACATCCTCCCAAACCCTCATCGTCGCTCACAGTTGCACTCTCGTCCGCCGGTGTCATGGTTCCTGGCGTCCTCTTGCCAGGTTCGTGGGCTTTGATCACTCTACCTCTGGACTTGAGTCTGCTACCTGGCTTAGGCCTGGTTGCGCTGGCCTCACGGACGCGGCTTGCTTTGGGGCTTGTGCCCCTGCGCTGAGTCAGGCGTAGCACTCGTCTGATCTCAAGCAAGTAACTTTCTAGGGCATCGACGAATCGCTTGGTTTGTCTGTGCTTACTACTGGCGCAGATGCTGATGCCTTCGTCCTTGATGATGTAGCCGATACCGAAACCATCGCCGGATGTCGGCCCGAAACCAAAGTGTCGCAGCGAGGGATTGCCGCAGTTCGAGGTTGAGATGATAGTGTTGTTCAATTTATCCCATCCACTGTCGGCAAAGAGGAGAGGCATGTTGTGGCTCTGCCCCCGCGATGGCGAGGAGTTACCACGAACGCGATTCCCGTTGGAGCGCACGGAATGGGCCTCGTCTCCATCGACGGACATCAAGGAATTCCTACCTGGGCTACCAACGACTGAAGCAGGATCCCTATCAGAGCTACCATCGACAGGGCTCGAGTAGCCATTACTGCTCATTCCAGTGCTACTCGCAGCCTCGGCCCCATCTTCATCAAGCGCCTTCTGCCACACGCTGAAGAGTGCGTAAAGATGCCGATCGCAGCCTTGGGCCTTGGCACACTCTCTGGTATTCGCTGTGTGTTGTTGACATGCTTTTCGGAGAGCATCAACTTTCTGTTGCGGCGGGTTCTCTGCCCAAAACGTTTGCACGAAATCAACCGACTCGGCAGTAACAGATCGGACTGCCTCGGTACGGCCATGGAGATACACCTTCGTCATTGCTGGTTCATAGGTGCATTCCACACGGCCGTACAAACCATAGTATGCAGCTTGGAAGGCCATCTGGACGAACGCATCAGGGGAGAAGCCCATGCCAGTCATGAAGTTCTTGCCGTACGCAGCAAAATCCAAGGTTGCAAATTCGTTTTGCTGAATGAGATCGGCAAGGCGGGTTTCAGCAAACCTAAGAGCAATGCTGAGCTCGGGAACCATGTCCCATTCCAACTTGTGGGGTGTAGTGCTGACATCACCGAAGCTGTCTGGGTCTCGCTTGGATGGATCGGGGCTTGTCGATGCCCAAAGGCTTGGAGCCTGTCCGTTGATCGTGCGAGCAAACCGAAGAATGGTATCCGTGTAGAGGTCGCTTGCGAAACGAAGGACCGTGTGACCGTCAACTCCAGTGTGCTCGAAATTGATACCTGCACTGCCGTTCTTGCACACAATTATCTGTAACTTGTCGTACCATCGATTAGTGCATGTCCCGATTTGAACACCCTTCTCGACTTGACTGGTTCCGCATAACATGTTGCCACAAAGCTCGGCCCCGGAAGCTGGTTCGGTGTAATCCAAGCATAGAATGAATAATGCAGAGTCTACTATTCCAAGACAATCGGCATTATTAGACCCCTCATCTCTGGTCATCACATCTCTCAGCCCAGACCAGACCTTCCGGTTTTCTGTGCTGAGAACACCGAGAGCACCTTTGGCTGCTTCCTGGATTGGTGTTTGCTGGGCATCGTCAACGATAGTTTGTAGGTTTATCGACAGATCTTTCTCTGTCATGATCAGATCTGAGTTATCGTCAAGAACGTCAAACCAGTAGAATTGGCCATGACAGAGTACAACAATGTGCTTGGCATCAGGATCTTGACCGATATGGCAGCCATTTTCTGTGGGGACGCGAGCTGTTCCAAACAATCTCGAGTATTGGTACATGCAGAGAGGCTGTCCCCTGACAGTATCAGGTGGCAGCTCTTCCTTCCTTACCGCGCGGACAAATGACAATGCAGACACCACCAAGGAGGCAGCGCGGGTGACTTGATTGTTCCTTGCAGGCGTTGGGTCATCCTCGAGTAAAAAGAATGGGTTCAAGTTCAGGACGACAGGGTTGTCGAAGTTGAGGTAAGAATCGTACCCTTCCTCATGTTAACATACATCAGTCGTAGTGACCTGCACGACTTACAAAATTGCTCGATGTAGCTCGTCTTCCCAGTGGCATACTTCTTCAGTCTCTCCTGTAGCTCCGGGCCCTCAGACTTGAGGAACTCCTCTACTGCTTGTTGAGTTTCGGCGTATTCCCTGGGACTCTGAAGTGGCTTCAGTGCGGCAAGATACTTTGATGTACTCCCCTCCAGTTCTGGTATTGGCAATTTCGGAAGCTTGTCCTGGGCTGCAAATGTGATACCAGCCTTGAGCTTAGGCTGATCGCTCGCCAGAGGGTTCTTTTGGTCTTTGGTATACTCATCAGCGGCCTTCTTTGCGCCATCGTGAGAGCGACCTGAGTCGTTGGCGGTCTGAGGATTGCCGGGTTCAGCCAACGACTCATTTAAAGATTTCGGCATCGTAAAAGTACGAACGGCTGTGTGGAAAGAAGGCATCTCGGTCAGCTTCGTGATTTATGCGTAGAGTGGTGAGATGGATGTGCTGATATTCAAACCGCGTAGGGCTGTGCGGTAGAAGTAGTGACAGTCTTGAAGGTAATAGGATGGCATCCCACTGGAAGGAAGGGTTTGCTTTTCCTGTGAAGAGTAGGACAACAAGGAAGAAAAGCAAAGACATAGATAGCAGCCGGGAGGCTTTGATTATATCTGGGGTACAGCATGTAGAGCGTGGTGGGTATTTGCCCCGCATGATTGATGCTGCAGAATCCCATCCATCCATAGACTGAACTCTCTAGCCGGCCAGATGGCCCATGGAGGAGAGTATCCACACCCGCACACTAGCTGGGGGATGTTGCCGAGCTAATATCAAGGTCCGCAGCACCGAGTTTTGAAACTTGAGCGAAATCTGCACACCAAGGGAACACAAGAGAGCATGCGTACCTTTCTGAGGTGGCTAAAGGGGGGATCACCTGGAAAATCGCCCCGAGAGGGTCCGCAGCGTGCTTAAATCTTCCGACGGTGTGACCCTCTAAGGACTGTGCCAGCAGGAGCTGTGGGTGCGGTGCCGATGTTGGACAGCAGGTACTGTAAGTATGGATGCTGGTTTCCAGTCTGGCACCCCGGTACAATACTGTATGACAAACAATACTGAGCCGAGTAGAAGGCGATATGGTAAGGTTATCAGCACATGTGAAAGCGACAAAGACAGGAACTCAGAAAGGCTGCAGTACAGACAGTAGCAGTCATGAAAAGCTTGAGTTGCGCCAATGGGAAGGCTAAGCCATTCGGACAAGAGGATGTTTGGGCGCACCTTTTTGCCGGAGGCGAAGGCAGTGGACTGGAGTAGTGTAGTGTAGTGTAGTCTTGACAGCGGGAGATGCAGGTGCGTGTGGAGCCGGGCTCACTCCAGGTTAGGTAAGTACTGGGCTGGGCACCTTAGAGACAGACGTACCTTATTATTAGGTACGTTACGAGCAATTACCTGTTCCCTTGGTAGGATGATACGGGCGCTGCTGGGATCGGTTGTTGAGTTGAGTGCGTATCACCTGGCCTGGCCTGTGGTGCATTCCTCGAGGAGAGAGACCAAGGTCAACTCACTACCCTAAAGGTAAGGTACTGGAGGGACAGCGAAGGCCGGGACGAACAAAACACAGAAAATAGACGACTGGTACTGTAGATGAAGTGTGTGTCCTGGTGGTCCCGGATAAGATAGAGTGGAGTCGGTAGCTAAGGTATGTACGAAGGGTACCTACTACCTAGGTAGTGATGTGATGTTTCTGACATTGCCGAACTGCTCGCTCTTGTCGCTCTTGTCGCATGTCATCCAGTGTCACCGGTCGAGTCCGATGACGCTGTGCCGAGCTCGCCCGCCCACCCCCAGACACCCAGACAGGCCCACTACATACATAATTTACATACAGTAGTACAGCCGTTTCAGGGAAAACGAGCGAGCTTCCGTTCCTCCGGTACAATATCAAAGTGTTTGTGATCATTTCACTTCATCTCCTTTCGTCGTCTTACAGATGGCCGCCAGACTGCTAGCCTGGCCTGGCCTGCGTGATGATTGTCTATTTGGTTCTACCTTACCTGGTACCTTATCGAATCACAGGTGCAGGCTTCGTTCTCCGAAACACATTTTTATGCATGATGCTTCTTTGGGCCATATTACTTCTCGTCGTCCACTCGACTACAGAGGTTTCTAGGCCAAACTACCTCTTAGATTCCGTAGAATTTAGCACTCACTGCGCGACAGTGACTAAAGGTTCGTCGGACCGCCTTAGGACGGTTTCCTTCCTCGAGGACAGTCCTGGACGATAGGAAATTACTACTTAGATGCTTTGCACTGCACACGAGCTACATTCCTTTTGATCAAGTGCTCCTCTTAAACTACCCCTAGTTATACCTTACACATTGACTTTACAAACCGAACTTTTCTTAAATCGACCGATTTAGGTACTCCTGAGAATAGGAAGTGAGTGTTAATCTTAAACAAAAGGTATCGAGTATTTAAGTACGGTAAGGATAAGTCGAGGTTTATTCCTCTATGAAGAAGGAAGGAGCTGTTACCTTTCAAGTAAAGGTATAGCCGTCCCTAAAAAAAGGACTGTTCCGAGACAGTCTGAGCAACGTTCTCTCAATCAAGGAATAATCTCGTGGGATATCCGTCAGGGGACTGTCCATTTGCATCTGCCTTTGCCTTTAAGGTAGCCATACAGTTCGTCGCATTCAACACAGAGCGTTTGGCAGGCGTGAAAGCCTTGGTATTCTTACTACCGCCGAGCTCGTCGCTGTACTTTTCTGCGTGAAGGTGGCGATGAAGAAGGTGGTGGGAAAAAAGTGTAATAACCAATTACTAGTGCGGATGATGAAAGTTCTTCCCAACAATTTGACACTGTCAGGAAATGGCACTTTGCAAGGTGTCAGAGGAGCAAGGGGGAGCAGGTGAACAGCAGCTTCTCGCATTTCCTGTAACCAGTGTACTAGAACAGCCCATTCTGAACAAAGAATTGGATCGCAAGAGGAAGTCGTGGCATTGCTGCAACAAGCACTTTCAAGGGGTTCCGCATCGAAGGAGCAGATCTTCAGGAGAACAGCCTCGAGACTCATCCTTAGGCGACGTGTAGTTATTGCTGAGGGATGGACTGGGACAGACGCTAGGCTTGCAGATGCAGCCGCTTGGTTTGTCTCCTGGGACGTATGAGGCCTGATACTTGGGTCCAGAGCCATTCCCCAGATATGAAAGCTAGCTCACTCTGGAGGTAGAACATGGACAGGATACCATCTACGCAGACTTTGTCGGCCTGCTCTATCGTCATGTCACCTAAAACCAAAGGTCAGATACACCATTCCTAATCTTGGCTGAAATAAGGTCTTGCCTTGTACCTCCATGGACAAAGCTCGGCCTAGTAGGCCCACGAAGGAAAATAAACGTATCCTTAGACATCTTGCTTTTCCAAAGATTGAATGAGATCGGCGCTGAATGCTAAGGCGAGATAAAGGGAATATCTTTGAACGAGCTGACACCTTTCGGGCTGTATAGCGAGGTCGTCACCGTGCCCGGGTAGCCCCCAGAGTAGAGGAGATTGCAAAGCGGTCCTCCAAGAATCACTGAGAACAAGTTGACAATACTCTTTTGCAATAATGTGACCAAGACCAGTATCTTAACTCGAGAGGGACAATTCTTGAACGTTGTCGGTCAAAGTTGATGTGGCATAACACACCATACGTCGAATCCCAATGTCCAAAGAGCTCCACAGAAAGGCCCAAAGCTTTTGCAAGTGGTTGAGAGAGCGCGTGAAATGCAGAACTGCCTACTCCTAGGTTTGCACAATAGTATACGCACACATTACGATAAGTAATGGAAACATTTACACCGAAGGCGCCCGCCGCCCAGGTTCAATTATGTTGGGCTATCTCGGGCGACGGGGTTTCGAGACCTTCGCGACGACCATTTGAGAAAGAGGTACACTGCTCCCAGACACGATGCCCAACGAGAGCAATCTAGGCAGCGTCACAGTAGGGAATTCCCGTCAGTCTCTATGCAACCATAATCTAATACCAGGCGTGAGGGTCGGCGCCGGAACAATCTGATGATACACATCGGCCATCTGTACGACCAAAACAGCCAACATGTATTTTTAACAACAGATACTTTGTGAACAGTTGAGTAGTATAGTCAACTATTGAACTTCCTGACGCTTGTCAACGAACACTAGAAGAGGTGGTAAGCGGAGTGGGTGATATGTAAGGTCAAAGCAATCCATGAACCACAGTCCAAAATCCGAGACTGATACTGGCAGCAGATGCGATCAAGAACGACTCATAGTACAGGTATAACCTTCGGCACAACCCACCAATCATGATATCCCTTCCCAGAGTTTGGTATCTCCACCTTTAGCTTCACCTTCCCGCCCTCTCCATCCTCTCCTGCAGCTTCGACAGCTTTCTTCACCGTGGCAATCGTAATGCTTGTGAAGATACAAGCTTTCAGACAAGCCTTGATTTTGCTTATCCAGGCATCGTGGGATCCTTGGGAGAATGACTCCTTAGCTGTCAATTTGCTGAGGACTTCAAATCCCTTCTTTGCTCCCAGAGCTGATTCACTGGCGAACTTGAGCAGTTCAAGAGTTGATGTTTCGGGTTGAGTGACGTATCTGGTGAACTCGTCGAATGGCGGCACTTCTGGAAGACCAATACCATGGAATGGCTTCATTCGCACCTCGTATCTCATGTTGTCGTCGCTATATGGCCTTGGAGGTGTTCTTATTAGGGACAGGCGGCTGAGAACTGTGAATAAACACGATAAGGCATCAGAGAATCCGTACGTAGCAGCAGCTTCCGTTGAGGAGAAATTGATAAAGCTCAGAGAGTTCATAAATTCCGGATGTTTAGCTGCTGCTGTTTGGGAATTCTGCAGGGATGCTCTTAAGCTCCGCACAACGAAACCTCTAATTCGCTCGAGGTGACGACTTCGCGTCTTTGTTAGGTACTGCACGTACCAGTACATTCCTGCGAGCTCATCCGGTTGATAAGTTTCGAGCTCGAACCCCAATTGAACTAGCCATTCCATCAGTCTCAGCTTGTAGAAGTACGACCAAGACGATAGTGGAAAAGAGTAGATGGGTTCACTCGAAATTTCTGGATCCACGATCGGTTGCTCTTTGGTGAACTCCCGGAGCTCAACATCCAATTCTTCGGCATCCATCTGGAGGTTATCCCAATCAACGATCGTGTGGCAGAAGGTGCGCCGTATCCTACATCTATTCTGGCATATTGTTCTCATAATGTCCAAGTACGAGCCAGCTGCGCGAGACCGGAAGATTTCCATGCGAGCAGCCATGTGATGTCTCGGATCATGAGGTACCTCAATCTCATCGTTGAGTCGGTCTAGGAGTTGGTCCGAGGGCAGTACAGTTGAAGCAAGATCGTCATCCAGAACATGCCGGATAGAAAATGCCCCCAGAATGACCATCTCTGCAAAAATGTAGTGCTGTAGCAAAGTTCTTACATAAACCGACGGTTGGGGTTTTCGAGCCTGGAAGAGGAACACAAAGTTCTAATTTCTGTGAGTGCAGATACCAATGTCCCGAGATGAAGCTTACCAGAAGACTATGACTGTCGTAGTACTTCAACACTTCTACCGCTACAGACGCGTCCAAGCAAAGTCTTTCCAAATGCTCGAAAGCGGTATCTTGACCGACCTCTACGATCGGTCGCGGCGGGACAGTACTCGCTAGCTTTCTCTGTATCTTGATACTAAATGATGATGGGAAAGGCTTTCCAAAAGGAAGAGTCGATTTGAGATCTGGTACAAATGCCAAAAGGTCTGACCACAACTGCTTTGGATTTTCTGATGTTCTACTATCGGCAGCTTCCACCGCTTGAAGGAACTGTAGCCGGAACTTCAGTCGGCATTCCAATGATTTCCTAAGCACTGGTTCAATGTGCTTGGCTTCTGCAATCAGGTCGATGGTTTCAGCAAGAAAGCCAACGATTGCTTCATGATCGATTTCCTCGAGGAGGTTCTGATGAAAAGTGTGAGTGACAAAGTCCTCCTCCTGTGCATCTCATTAGCAAAAGTATATGTGATCTAGAGCTATGCACATGCCTCGTATGTATGCTCCGACTTGACCCGATTGTTGACGTAGTAGCAAGTTTTGATGAGGCCAAGACAATAGGCCCTCAATATCTGGAGAGTAACAGGTTCATCTTCCCAAGTCTCACGCCGGTCAAAGTAGGTCTGATCGAGATTTAGTGGGCACGGCGATAGGATCCTGTCAATATACAAGCTAGTGAAAATAGTTTGCGCGAGAGGGTGGCCCATGTGCCATGCCATCTATAATCTTAGCAATGTCCTGCCCCTATTCGAGACGGAACATACCTCATGACACATTAGTTGATCGATTATGCCAATGATCTCCTCTGGGAGCAAGACTTGATCAAAGTCAAACTCGTCTTCCATAGTCTCTCCAGGTTCGAGGTAGCCGCTGTCCATCTTTCGGTCCATGATCTGCCAGCCTCAGCACCAGGTCGCCGCTCTCCAAACTGCTTCAGACTCACCTCCAACGCGCCAACAGACTCGAAGAGTGTGAAGAACGGATCTTTGACGAGCTGGCCAAGGTCGAGCTCTGTGAAGCTCTGTCAACACGTGATTGCAAATATGGGTTTACCACTGCAAGAACCTACGCTGAGCCGCATGAGCGAACTGTTTTGTAATTTCCATAGAGACCACTCCTTTGCTTTTCAACTTCGGTGCAGCTGGTGGATCAGGCTCGAATGCTGTAAATGGATTGATCGGCATCTCATTTTGGTCGTCGATGGCAAGGTTCGCGGCTTCTGTCAAGTAGTAAGCCAAGGGAGTCAAATTCTTGAGTGCGAATGGCTTCGTACCATGAGCGATGGCAGACACGCCATTGCTGTGCATGTTTGCGGTGCTGCAATATTCTCGAAGCGGCGTACTTCACAGGTACAGTCGGATGTTCACCGCAAGCCCGGCCAGCCTAGAGATGTCTGAAATCAGAAGTTCTCGCTTGAGCGTTCGGTGCTAAAGGCTCATGGAGTATCGAGCAGCTGGGTTTGGAAAGGCTTTCGAGCACTTTTGAGCAGTGCATCAAGTCAGCATTTCAAAAAGGCAAACCTGGTGCTATCCCGAAGAATTCGGCATTAACATAGAAGTTTGCTAACCTAGCTGGAGGACCATTTGGGCGTTTCGGCTTCAATGCAATCGAGGAAGGCGCACATGCACCAGAACCTCAACGCATTTCGCACAAGCTGGCAAGCAGAGGACGAGTCAGATTCACGTTGTTTTCAGTTACCCCAAAAGTAGATGCAGAGTCCCAACACTGGTAGGGGTTCGAAAGCGGCATTTAAGAAGTCTAGGGAGTTCAACCATGTGCTCTTCACTGGTTCAAAGAAGGTCAGGGGCCTCAGCTGCAACTAACTTCGACCGGATTTTTGAATTGCTGGGCTTGTCGTCCTCAAATAATACAATTGTACAATCCACTATCACTGTCTGTCCTCCACGACCAGCGCTCTAGCCCACCCAGCCACTCACCCGCCAAATCCCATGCCATTGATGTGCAATTGGCAGTCTACGACTGGGAGCCAGCGTCTGCCATCGAAGCAGCGTTTGCCTCTGCGACGCTCTTGCTCTCGCCTTGCTTGCCGTTCTGCATTCAATGAATTGTCAGCCATTGCCCTTTGTCGTATATGTCCGTCCCCGGAGACATCACTCACATTCCACTTGGCAAACTTCAACTCCATCTCTCCTCTTCTCTCTGCCTGTAGTCTCTTGTCATCCTTCAAGCTGCGTCGGACGACTCGTGCTGCCACCGAAAGGTACTTGTTGTAGCTGTTGAAAGATTTGTCAGTCCCAGCTCCTGGCAACCGCGCAGCGGCTCAATCGAGGATAGATTCGGCTTCAATGGCAATGGAACGTACGTGAGACCTGACGCTTTCCACGCGAATGTCATTTTGAATGATTGGAGGTTGTGAGAGTGTGTTAGCGGTTGATGTGGTTTGGAGCAGTGGTTGCTTCTGATGCTCGGGCGGGATCGAATTTCAAGCATGCCGAGAAAGTCACGTGGTATCTAGCTTTGTCGCGATACCAAAAGGTACACCTACCTACCTAGGTACCTTGGGTAGGCTAGGTCCCTTATCTACAGCGCAGGTACCTCTAATGACACAACTGCAATTGCTGTCTCAGCAACTCTCTCATACCTCCAGCTCCGCGAAAGGCTACGAGGCAAGTATCAACAAGGCTGGTACTAGCAAGAGTTGCTCGGTTGTTGTTGACTACTGCTGAACAGATGGAAGAGGTCAAGGTACCTCAAAAGTACCTAACTAGGGCAGTCGCATCGCAGCATGTTTTAGGACTCGATCATCAAGGGGGTCCAGAATGACAGTCATATGCAGGCACTGGCTGTCACGGAGATTTTGCACGGTCAAATTGCTCATATATCTACAGTACACTCTAGAGCTGTTGATACAACCCCTTTACCCTTCCTCCCATACTAATGAAGATCTTATACCTTGAGACCCAACTCCTCTGCATATGGGAGGACATAGAGATCTCCGACAGCTGAAACTGTCGCCTTACCCTCGAGTAATGCCTTAGCAGCCTGTTGTACAATTAGCATAAGGTCGTGACATACTAGGGTAGACGAGGATACATACCGACTTCAACTTCTCGGCAGTCACTGACTCGACACTCTTACCAACTTCATCGATCTGGAAAGCCTTCCCGCCGTGGACCAGTCCAGCGCCAGTGACAACGAGACCGGCCTCAATGTTCTGGCCTTCTTCCAGAGCACGGTATTTTGCTAGTGCAACAGCCTTGGTGAAGTCCTCCTTGCTGATTGAACCCTCAGCAACGCTCTTCAGTGCTTTAACGGCCTCAGCCGAAGCGCCACGGATAGCTGCTGCAGAGCCGCTTAACTGGATAGTCAGGAGGCCAGCATCAGAGTAAGCCAAGTGAGTGGTGGCAACGCCAGCTCCAGGGAACGAAGAGACAGCTTTGGACAGAAGCGAGAATCCAGGGGACCACTTGATGCTTGACTTTCCACCAAGAAGAGCCGCAAGAACTGCAATTTCTGGCTTGTATGAACCTCCTGCGGTGAAAGAGCTTGAGCCAGGGAACGCAATCACGAAAGAGTTGCCGGCGTTATGTGCAATCCGTTCTTCTCCGCCATAGTATTTGGTTGCTTCACCCGACAACGTGCTGGATGAGGTCTTTGACTCCTTGAAAAATTCACCAACCCATTTGCTCAAGTCGGCCTGGCTAGCACCGTTTGCAACAACAGCGAAATTTGGCTTGGCATATGCGCTCTGAGAGAACTGAGAAATGGATTCTTCGTTCAGGTATTTGGCCAGAGGGGTCGAGGAAGATGGGTAAAGAGGCGTACCCAGACCTCTGTGAAAAGCCACACCATGTGCGGAGTTGATGGCAAGCTCAGACACATTACCGAGGAGCTTCTTCTGGGCAAGCTTGATGATGGGCTCGATCTCCTCGTGGTACTCGTGAGCTAAACGGAAACTGTCAGCGTGACTGTCCATAGGCCAGTCCCCGAAGCAATTGGCCTACCGGTGTACTTTGTTTGTGAGATAACCTCTCCAAGTAACTCTGTGAAGTATGGTAGATCTTCTCTGAGGAACTTCGCCTCAATAACCAAGGCCTCTCTCGTGTGGTATGCGGTCAATTGGCCTCCAAGAAGCTCGGATTCTCTTGTGATTCGTAATGCAGATCGCTTGAGGGTGTTCTGGAGAAGAAGAAGTCAATGTCTGATCTAAAACAACTATGGTGTACTAAGTCTGTCCGCCCACCTTGAACGCGAATTGTTCCAAACCAGAGGTCAAGCCAGGGGCCGATTGATACCTCGTTCCGGCCTTTGCAACCACAGCAAGCTTCGTAGTCGGTCCTGCAACATCTCTGCTGGCAACCTTGATTCCGTTCACATCCGCAGTCTCGTACGAGAAGGAGGTCGATCCGGAGATGGAGGCGGCGAGGCCGCGGCGGTTTGCTGGATGAGCACAGCATTGCCTGCGAAGGGCAAGCTGTGCCTTGGGACCAATCGCCGACCGTGAGATCATTGTGCGGAGAGGATTGGTGGATGGAGAATCGCAGGGAGTTGGACTGCTTGGGCTGGGCTTTCGCTTTGGAAGTTGAGGTTGTCGAAGCTCTGCTAGGGAAGAATTCGGGCCACGAGTAGGGCTGGCGGCAGAGACCAGGCGTGCACGGCACTAGCACCGCAAGAAATCTTACGGCGGGAGTGAGGTACTCCGTGCTATACTGTAGCGAGTGTACAGTAGCTCAGACCTGCTGTGCCATACTTTTTAGTGAGGCCAGAGACTGCCTCGTTGGAGGGGTCAAAATTCGTGACCGACCGTCCTGAGCCCGAAAACCCCAGCCTCATCCTAAATATCTTTTACCTTCCTACTCCACGACTCTCTTCCCCGCTCAGCCTCACCTCGTCAATGAAGCACCGGTAGCACTTGTGGAAGGCTCTGGGGATCGGGGATAATCTCTAGCAGCAAACAAACATGTCTCGAGTACGCTCTTGTCTTTTCTCCCCCCGCGCGGAGCTAGCTCTGTGAATACCGCCTTTTCGTAAAGCCCCAAAACTGACAGGCCACAGTCAAAGAACGCAGTAGAGCTTTGTGCTCTACTCGTCGACGAGATCTATGGCGAATTAACCTCTGTACGTGCGCCAATATCTGCTTCAGGCTATACTTGGGGGAACTGAGCGTACTTTTTCTGTTTGCCATCGCCCGGCCGAGTAGAATATATTTCTGGTTTGGTCACGTCTGACTTTGTTAAACAGCGGATATTTACGATGCTCCTTCGACGCGGGCGACTGACAGCAATCAATTTGTCCAGGCACACTCGACTCTCTCCCCGTAATACCAAACACGGTCTGGCTGTGCTTATCCAGCAGGGTCTTGTATACCACAATCGCGACTCGGAGGGCAGTACTTTCTATGAAGCAAACCACGATGCGGCATATGGGCTGGTTCGATCTGGGAAGATCATGGAGGCGGTGGAAGCTCGGTTTGGTGCCTTCGCACGAGACGTTATGCAGAATTTGTTCGTGATGGGCAACACCAAAATTTCGGATCTCGCAGCAGTATATGAGTCAGTGCAGGGGGCGCGTACCAACGAAAAGATAAATGGACATGCTGCCGCAAATGGTATAAACGGCCATGAGGAAGAACATGCTACCACTGGTCCACTGCATACAGCATTGGCTCACTTGCTCCAGGCTGGCATGATTGAGCCAGTTGTGGAGAACATGCTCCGAAGCCCGACGGATCTCTACAGCAAAATTGAGAAAGAAGTCGAGCAAGCCTTTTATCAGGGCGGGACCAAGGGCCTCAAGCAAAAGGAAGAAATGAAACTCAAGATTCAAGCACGCATAGACTCGGCGCGAACGGAAGGTCAAAGTCGATGGCAGATGAAGGGCAAGAAGAGAATGGCGAACGGGGATCACAACGGTACGAATGGCAGCCACAAGCGGAGACGGCTTTCCAATGGAAGCAGCGATGTTGTCAATGGTGATAGGTTGTACGAAGATGATGGCACGAGACTTGATGTGGGTTTATCTTACTTTCGAGGCAGAGAGTGGATGCTAATGTCACACGAAGACGAATCTGGTACTTCGCATCAATTACGAAAAGTGTACCGTCGCACTACGTAACCAAGTGCTGGTGACCTTCGCATACGATCGAATTGGAGAGACGACATCTTTGATCTACGCCGCGGGTCTCAGACTCTTGGAAGACAGAATCCCCCGATGCCGATCGAATTCGAACCTAGAAGAGCAATCAGATGGACCGTCTTTCACTACCATGCAGCTCACAGCGGTGCTCAGCAAGTCCATCAATGCAGGCACGGGTATTGGCAAGGCTCCGGGCGAGAAGGCCAAGAGGGGCAAGGTATCAGGCATCAACATGGATGACCCTGAGTCGGATGAAGAGACCATAGTCAACGGCACTGGCCTTGGTGCATTTGACGACGACGACCCTTTCACAGACGAACCCCCAAGGCCAGCAAAGCGCCCGAAGGTAACCTTCCAAGATCGACCAGAACCTGATCATTCTGACCGGAGCGAGAATCGAATGCAGCAAGTCAAGAACCACCTCCAGCTTCTCGAGTCTGATGACTGTCGGTTCCTCCGAAAATGCGGAAACAGCGGCCAAGGCGAATGGACTGTCGATTTTGAGCGCATCATGGAACATGTGCAGCAATCGGAGCTTGACACCATGCTGCTGGAGAACTTTGGAACATTTGGACATCGATTAGCGCGAATGCTGAGAAAACTTGGCAAGCTTGACGAGAAACAACTGCCCAATCTTGCTCTCATGAAGCAAAAGGACGTTCGTACGAAGTTGGCTGAGATGCAGATGGCGGGCGTTGTTGACATTCAGGAGGTGCCAAGAGATGCAGGCCGCCAGAATCCCAACCGTATCATTTTCCTCTGGTTCTTCGACAACGATCGAGTCGCTACCATGATCTTGGAGAATGCCTACAAGATGATCTCGAGATGTTTTCAACGTCTCGACTTCGAGCGACGCAAGGTCGCCGACGTTATCAACCTGACATTACGAACTGATATGCTTGATCAAGACCCAGAGACATATCTCGATGCAGCTCAGCTGAACTCATACCAGATTTGGCAGGCGAAGGAAGAGAGTCTCTTGGGCCAAATATTACGCCTAGATCAGCTGATTGGGATATTTCGGGATTTCTAGGGAAGACGTCCTATGGGATGTGAAGTGAGACGATATTTTGCGGTCTGGATATTGCATAGGGATGGCGTTTTTGCTGCATTTGGACATGGCGTTGATACTGGCAGCGAGGGCACTTCCGATTGCCTTTGAGAGTTCGTGATACCATTACTCTTGCGATGTTGCCAGACGAACGGCAAAATAAGCAAATACCCATCTACTCTTGAGTTTCCTGGGGGTGTCATTGTGCATAGTGAGCTGTGATCACCCAACCTCCAGAATATGACCTTGCGCGAACGCATGATAGGGGAATGAGGTGGAAGTGCGCGGCGGTGACCTATAAGTAGCTTGAGTCGATTCAATATCAAGAACGGTGATGCATCCAACGCAAGGTCTGTCTCTTGGGGTAACTGGAATTTCTACCACGTTTTGCTGCTTTGAAGAGCAGGGAGCAAAGCGACCAGCTGGGCAACTGGGTAAGCTCTTGTTTCACTTCCAACTTCCAGATGGGAACGTAAATAAACAATGTCGACGTGCCCCTCTGACCTCGTTCCATCTACACTTCCATTTCAGCTGCCGTAAGGTCCGATAGGTCATACACGAAGCTGCCTGTCTCTTTGCCAGTTCTTACTCACCTCGCGCAGGGAGTTCATATTTGGAATGCGTGACTAACCATCATCTCCGACGCTGAGTGAGGTTCTTCCCCTTATGAGATGAATTAAGAGCTCCAGGGTCTCATCGCGCTCTAGACATAGCGAATAGCATATTTATTACAGATTACCAAGTTGCTGTAGTGTATGCGGTCCATGGACGGTTTTATACGGTGGGCTTAGCGACCTTCCTACATTTGTGTAGAGACAAGCCTTGAGGTTTGATTCGTGCCAATGTGAGAATCCAAACGAATTACTTGGCCTATCTATCATAGTTTGCCATGATGAGGACGATGATCATACTGAGTGCAACCAGAACCATCATATCTTGATGCTTTGAACGCTGTTTTCTCGTTGGTAAACAGGGCCACTGGATCTCTCAATAGACAGAACACCTCCAAACCGACGATAGACGCAGGAGGATGTATAAACAACAAGTCATATCCAAGAAGACAGTCTTAAATGGGCGAGAGAGTGCATGGATGCTCTTGCAAGGAGAGGTCTCGCTTAGCCACTCTGAACCCTCTCGGGTCAGCTTTGCTGTGTTGATCGGGAAATACCGAGTCTTAATGTGCTCAGAGGGTGTTTCTTATAGATATTGAGCTGTGAAGTCTTCTCCACTCTTTGTCATGCCTTATCTGCACTACAATGCAGGTTGGGAACGGGAGCCAACTCACGTAGGAGTAAACACGCGAAGCGATTGCTGACAAGTGAGCAGGGCTACATGCAGAACTAGCTGGCTGGCATACGGAGGCGAGTCGGTGGGAATACAGAACCAACAGGGGATCTGAGAGTCATATTCTTCCTTCATCAACACTCCGCTATCTTGTATCCAGTCGTGTCAATGTCGCCCAGTCACACAGATCTCCGGTCCATTCAATGGCAGCCGCCCGGCCTGCCGACCTACGTCGTGCAGAACGACTAAGGCGGGCTCGTCTCTCATACCATCCCATCCCTCGCATTCTCGCGTCAGTGAGCCCGGGGAATAGCCTCGCATGTGAAAATACACTATTCGATGATGGAAGACAAGAACCGGGCTTCTGTTACTTCCCCACTTGATGTGACCGACCTTAGACTTCGCTGACTTTGTAGTAGTTCTGCAGTACAGGGACCCATCAACCACGAAAGTTTTAGTCACATCATATTTTGCAGTTGCGTGGCCTTCGCAGGATGCATGAGTATATATATATATATATATATATATTCATATTCGGATATAGAATTTACTTCTGACTCATGGAACAAGGCTCGCATCTCATCCCTGCACCCAAACCTTTCGCCATGAACGCGCCAATTACCTAACCAGGCACTAGCACAGGCACTGGCCACAGTGATCCGGAGAATCGACTCTCCTACGAGTACCTTACGAGGCGGCCCAAATTTATGACCGGCGAAGCGAGCCGTATTTAGCGCTGTCCCGTATTTCCTTTGTTTACTACCTTTTTTCTATATAAACATGAGTCTTTTAAAGACACTACTTAAATCGACACTTATAAAATAAATCACTCTTTTTTAGATATACTAGCTGCTCCTTTATCTCCTCTTACTCTAACGACTCTAAAACCTCTTTATAAGACTAATCGTAAAGAGTATAATACTCCTACGTGTTATAAGATTAATAATTAACGTTTTATTACTTATTAAACTATTAGAGAGATTATAAAGTTTATAGATAAGCCTTATTAAATAGTCAGCGATATCTATACGTAACGAAGACTTTCTATAAACTATAAGACCTACTATAAGAAGCTTAAAGTATAAATTATTATATAAGGACGTGTTAGAAATCGAAGCTAATATAGATAGATACTAGGGCTGAGGTTCTATAACTTTAGAGGAGCTAATCGACTACTACGATCTTGATATTTACTCTTAAACCTTACTTAACTTATTTTAGAGAGAAGGAATTAGTCACTTTTAAGCTACTAAGAATAAATACCTTACTCTTACGAATATAAAAGAACGAAAAGAGTTTTATAAAGAGCTTCAAGATTAAAAAGGGTAGAAATAAGTGTAATATAAGAAAGTTCTTTATTCTAACGCCTCTTACTTTATAGTAAACTAATATAAGAAATCTATAGTCTTTCGATATTAAGGCTATAACAAATAAGAAAGACTTCACTAAAATCGACTTAATAAAATATGTAAACGTCTTTTAGTTTAAAAGGTTTCGTAGATAGTTACTATAATAGTTAGTTAGAATTATAAATTAAAGCTTATATTTTTACTATGTTATATTAATAGCGATAAGTATATAGAGTTCTTTCTTAAGCTAGTTATTAAGCTATTCTTTAATAACCTACGAAATAAGAGGTATATCTTTTAAGAGGATAATAAGAGAGCTTATTAGTTCGTAGACCTTTACTATAGAAATATAAGGGGAATCAGGGGGTATAAGTAATCCTAGTTAGAGAGTAGACTCTTTTTATATATAAACCTAGGGCTATTTAAGAGGTAGTATATATTCTAACTCTTAGATACTCTTTATAATATATACTTTTAAATACCTTTAAATTAAACCTTTAATTTTAATATATATTAATATATACTTATTATTTATTTACTAGTATAATACTAATACTAATTAGTAGTTATTTTATACTATAGAATAAATAAGTTAAATATAATAGAGTTAACTCTTAAGATATAATACTAAATTAATATTAGTAAGCTCTTATTAAAACTAAGTAGAGTAAGCTTTATAAAGTAACTAAAGAACTCTTATTAAAATTAAGTAAAGTAAGTTTTATATTACTAAAGAATAATAGCTACTCTCTAATAGTTATTAAGATATTTCTAGAGCTATTTAGTTAGATATTTCTAAGATATAAAAAATATATCTAAAATACTTATAAGTCGCTTTTAGTATAATAGTAACTCTAATAAACTAAGTTATAAAATAACTTAAAATAGAAGTTAGAAGTAGCGGAATCTTAATATAAAATAGAATACTAGTTCTTAGAGTACTTTCAGCTAGTCTTATAAGAGCTAATATTAATAGTTTAGTTTAAGGATTTATAGATTATTCTATAAGAAAAGGTATTAAGAGAGAGATATTATTCTAGGATTTTTAAAAATACTTTTTAGATTAAATAGTAGATAATTTTAAGAAAATAATAAGTAAGTAATAATAAGAGCTCTAAGACTATCTCTTAAAGAATTAAGTCTATATTTAGTATTAAAAGAGATTATAAATTTCCTAGGCTCTTATAATAATAGTTTAAGTATAAGAGAATACTATAATGGACTAATCACGATAAGCAAGTCACGTAAGTAAGGCTAACGTCGTAAGGCTGCGAGGCTAAAGTTATATAGCGAACCTAAGACTAGCTTAGTTCACTAGCAGCTATATCTTCCTTACTTATTCTTAAGGCTCCTTAAAAACCTCTCCCTCTCGCTATCTTTTCTACTTTATATTATAACTACTAATAAATATTTGTTATACTATTATATTAGAAAAGACTAACCTTACCTATAAAAGTCCTAATATCTACTTTTACTAAATTCCTTAAGCACTTTTCAGGCGCAGTTAAGTCGTATCTTTAGCTCTCTCTTTTCTACTTTATCTCTTATACTTTATTATTTCCTTAAGTACCTTTTAAGTGTAACTAAGTTATATTCACAACTTAAGTACTACCTCTTACCTTTTACTTTTATACTCACACTTCCTTATAAGTAGTCTTAATCCTTTCTAGAAAAGTAATAAAATATAATATAGTGTTCTTTTTACTATTAAACTTACTACTTCACTAATACTAAGAGAAAGAAATCCGCCTTTAACCTCTTCTCCCTTATATATCACCCCTTATAAATATAATAGTAAAAAAAAGAATGATATTATTCTCCTAACCTCTTATAATAATACTATATCTCTTAAGGAGAATAATCCCTAAGACTAATAGGACTACTCTTAAAAGGAATATACTACTCCCGTACTAATAGTTAAAGTTATAAAGAGCTCTAAGGAACCTTAAAGACTAGCTAAGCACTAAGAGAAGTAAGATAAAAGCTTTCGTAAGATATTAGAGATACTTAAGAACTTAACTTTTAAATCTAAGAAGTCTAAGTCGTTAAGCTTTTAATAGTAAGCTCTTAACTTAGGGGATAGTAATAACTCTAATAATAATAGATTATCTAGAGATAACTAAGATAACGCTTTTTAAGTACTAGTAAAGCTTACTCTTACTCGCTAAAAACGCTATAAGAGACTCTTACTTAAATTATATATTAAAAAGTTCTTTAATACTCTTAATAGCTTAAAATAATATACTTAGTCTGCCTTTATAATAAGTAAGCTAGATATTAATACTAACTATTACCTAAGTGAGAAGGCCTAATAAGCTATAGTATATAACTATACTAAAAGTGACGCCTAAAGTTACTTACTTCCTTACTTTAAAGTTAGTACTATAGACCTTTTTATAAATACTAAGGAAATACTTAGCTACCTTAGTAGTATCTATAATAACGCTTTTAAATAATAAGACACTAAGATAGCCTTAAATAAGCTTTAAATAGTAGCTAGTAAGTTATTTACTAAATACTACCTGAAGTTCTTAAAGCTCGTTTAAGATACTTATATCTTATTTACTAAGAGCCTTACTACTTGCTTTTATAACTCTTTATACTTAACTCTTAAAGATCAGGTAGTTTATAAGTTCACTCCTAATAGAAGTTTTTAGGACTTTATCTCTATAATAGATTTCTTAGATAAGAAAGTACACTAAACTTAAGAATAATATCAGTAGATTATAGTAACTACTTAAGCCCTTACGCTAGTAGTTCGCCTCTTAACCTTTACTTTCCTAAAAAGAGGCTTAGTTACCTTTCCGCCCTTTAATAGTGTTCCTATTCTTATTACTCTGACTTTAGTAGTAGCTACTCTAAAGGTAATCTTTCCTTCTCTTAAAGTAGTTATATACTATAACTATAAGAAGATAGGCTATATCGCTAAAAATTACCTAGAGCCTTATATAATAATAGTTGTAAAAGTTAAGGTACTAGAGAAGTACTTTAATACTAGTCTCTTCTCTAATAAAGAAGTTAATAACTTAAAGGAAATTCCCTTAGACCTGGAAAACTTGAAACCTTAAGAGAAGACTCCTTTTTAAGGTAAATACTTAATCTTAAGGAGATTAATATACGTTAGTTAATAAGTAGTAAAAGTTTTACTATCCCTTATATACTATTTTATAATAGTATTAGAATTATATTACTTATACTTCTTAACTTTAGAGTAGGCAGTTTCACCTTTATTAATACTTGCTTTACTAAAGACTTTATAAGGAAATTCAGTATAAAACTCACCTCTCTACTTAACCTTATATAAGTGAAAAGCTATAATAGATAAGCTAATAATATCGCCTCTTATATAATCCTTTTAAATATTCTAATCGACTAACGCGTTTAAAAGGAGATCCTATTTGTTCTCTTAGATCTTAAGAATCATAAGATTATTTTAAGATAGACTTAGATAGCTTACTTTAACGTCTAGTTAAACGTAAAAGACTATTATCTTATCTAGCTATATAACAAGGATATCCCCGTAGTCCTCCCTTGTTTAATTCCCTTTTCCTAATGTTGGTCCGCAGACCTTTACTATAGAGGTATAAGGGGAAATCAGGGGGTACAGGTAATCCTAGTTAAGGGAGAGACCCCTTTCGGATACGAACCGGGGGTTATTCGGAAGGTAGTATATATTCTAACTTGTAGATACTCTTTATAATATACACTTTTGAACACTTTTAAACTAAACCTTAGATTTTTATATATATTAATATATACTTATTATTTATTTACTAGTATAATACTAACACTAATTAGTAGTTACCTTATACTATAGAACAGATAGGTTAAATATAATAGAGTTAACTCTTAAGATATAATACTAAATTAATATTAGCGGGCTCTTATTAAAACTAAGTAAAGTAAGCCTTATGGAGTAACTAGAGAACTCTTATTAAAATTAAGTAGAGTAAGTTCTATACTACTAAAGAATAATAGCTACTCTCTGATAGTTATTAAGATATTTCCAGAGCTATTTAGTTAGATATTTCTAAGATATAAAAGATACTTCTAAAACACCTACGAATCGCCTCTAGTATAATAGCGACTTTAATAGACTAAGTTATGAAATAACTTAAAGTAGAAGTTAGAAGTAGCGGAACCTTAACAGAAGATAAAACGCTAGCTCTTAGAGTACCTTTAGCTAGTCTTATAAAAGCTAATATTAATAGTCTAGTTTAAGGATTTATAAACTATTCTATAAGGAAAGGTATTAAGGGAGAGATATTATTTTAGGACTTTTAAGAATACTTTCTAGATTAGATAGTGAATAATTTTAAGAAGATAATAAGCGAGTAATAATAAGAGCTCTGAGATTATCTCTTAAGGAATCAGGTTTATATTTAATATTAAAAGGGATTACAGATTTCCTAGGCTTTTATAGTAGTAGTTTAGGTGTAAGAGAATACTTAGCTAGATAAATAGGAAACTAACTTACTACTAAACCTATTATTT